AATTCCCAATGTCAGTTGAAAATAAAATATTTTATGTCAAGTTATTGTGATATACCTATAGTAAAAAAATATTTCATTATGATAATTTAAGGGTATTATTCAATTCAATGTCAATATTAATTACGATCCCTCATGTCAATTTAAAAGTAATATATTTATATCATGTGTATTGTAATAAGAAGTTCAAAAATCGCGAGTTAATTTCTGAAGTCGAATTCTGGACCTTAAATATGACGTGACATCAACAGAATCGATGTTCTAGCCCCTCTACCACGGAGGTCGGCAAAGGTTAAGGTAGCCGACGAGGAAAATAAATGACTGGGTTATTCGTCGTCGTAATTTAATCATTTCACTTTCACAACATTTGGGTTTCGGGCAATCGTCTCGTATCGGTCACGTGAACATCAACAGAAGAGCTTCCAAGGCTGCGGTGATGCAATGTGACCACAAGTCATTTTAATGAATATACCTTGCAATTTGATAATTCAAATCAATATGAATCGATTTTGTGTGCGTTTCAGAGTAGGTATATTTTATATTGAATACTTAATATTTGAGGAGCTGGCGAACAAAACGGTGCAATTACGCATCTGGTAAAACTACTTTTTTACAGTCCGGAGGTTTCGGGCCCGTTGAATTTAAATCTCAAATAATTTTCAATCAAAACCACCTAAAACAGTGTTAATAGTGCCGTTTTTCAAACACATCTTTGATATATGGGAGAGTAAGCACGATGCTATTGGCATTTTTTGCGACTTATCAAGGGCGTTTGACTGCGTTAGCCATGAAACATTGTTAAATAAAATGAAGCATTATGGTGTATCAAATATTTCACTAAGTCTGATACAGTCTTATCTTTCTGCTAGGATTCAAAAAGTAGTTATAAATGAAGCTGAGTCTACAGGAGCACCCATTTCTATGGGCGTGCCCCAGGGTTCAATATTGGGCCCATTGCTTTTCCTTATTTATATCAATGACCTTCCTCACTTTACAAGAGATTTGTGTGAGACAGTACTATTTGCTGATGACACCTCTTTATTGTTTAAAGCTAGAAGAGGAAATGATTGTTATGACGAAGTAAATTGTGCTCTCTCTGAAGTCCTTCACTGGTTTACGGTAAATAATTTAAAACTTAACTCCAGTAAAACAAAATGCGTTAAGTTTACTCTACCTAATGTGAGGCAGGTTAATACTAGTATAAAAATAAATGACCAGCCTGTAGAGTTAGTGGATTTTACAAAGTTTCTGGGTATTACTTTAGACTCTCGTCTGCAATGGGATCCTCATATTGATGCCTTGTCAAGTAGATTGAGCTCTGCAGCTTTCGCTGTTAAAAAGATAAGACTCTTAACTGATGTGGAAACGGCAAGATTAGTTTACTTTGGTCACTTTCACAGTGTTATGTCATATGGCCTTTTGTTGTGGGGCTCAGCCGCTAATATCGAAAGTATTTTCATACTGCAAAAGAGAGCTGTTCGCGCCATATACAATTTAAAGGCAAGAGAATCCCTTAGAGAAAAATTTAAAGAAATTAATATTTTAACACTGGCGTCGCAATACATTTATGAAAATTTAATATATGTAAGAAAAAACTATGATGAATTTGCAAAAAAAAAGTCAAACCCATAACTTTAACACGAGATTTAAGAACAAGCTTGCCGTTCCATGTTTCAGACTCCAAAAATCAAGAGGTTCATTTCTGGGTTGTAGTATTGCATTGTTTAACAAAGTTCCCCAAGATCTGATTGAGCTTCCACTGACTAAATTTAAATCTCAAATCAAAAATACTCTTATGAATAAGGGCTATTATAAAGTTGATGATTATCTAAATGATCGTAATGCATGGACATAGTGTTTCTTATAATTTGATATTAAATGGGTATTACTCATTTTTCATAACAGTAATATTGTACCTATCTAATGCCGCTTCCTATATACTACTTAAAATGTTAACTATAAAATTAATTGTAACTATTTATATTCTAGATGATGTAATGGAAAGTGACTTCAGACGTATTTCTGAAGTAATTTTTCAAATTGACGACACCGTATATAACAATACAGGGAGAAAAAAACAGCCCTTGCTGAGTTTCTTGCCGGTTCTTCTCAGTACAAGGTCTCCCGCCGTAGTTTTGCGAACCGATGGCGTAGCTTCTTGACCTTCACAAGTGCTTGTAACAGCCTAGACTGAATAAATGACATTTCATTTCATTTCATTTCATTTCATTTCATTTCATTTCATTTCATTTCATTTCATTTCATTTCATTTCATTTGACCTATTGGAGGCACTGGGCATATTAGGATAATGGGGCCCCTATGAACTAGGGACTTTGAATTTGATCTGAGAGAGGCCCCTATTGATCGCGGGGCCCTGGGCACTTGCCCAAAGTTCCCACTGGAAAAGAGGGGTCTGAGTGTTAATACTACTAAATTTATAAATTAAAACCCATGCCAAAAGCTCACTGGAAGTATGTCATTCAGTCTTATACAGCTACTGTAAAATTTAATTTTATGCAATTATTCGAACTCGAGACTTTTTAATAGGCATTTCAAACACTTTTTTACAGAAATAATTTTCTTTAGGCCTTTGTAAAACAGTCAGCTTCTTCGCAACTTTAAACGTTAATATTTAACGATAGACTGTAAAACTGAATGAAAGTAATGGAAATAATCGAAATAATGGATAATTTCTTTTTTTTCTTAATGGTTTCGCACGTCTTGTGCATTTAGCCAATGTCAAGTGTTAAAATGTTTACAAATTCTATAGCACTCGTGGTCAAAGTAATAAATCAAGTCAAACTAAGTGGCAGTCAAGTCAAACCCCCTTTCCCTATGTTTCAGTAAATGTGTGGGGATTTACTGGAACCTCCCCGTGAACTCCTTGAGGGAACGTCGAAAGACACTTTCCGCTATTTTGTCTCACTTGCTAACACTTGTGCATGTTCCCGAACACTAAGTGGTTAATAATCCACCATTATTAGACATTAACATCCGCCATAACACATTTTGAACAAGAAAAACAAAACTGCTTAATTGACGCTTTCCGATCCCGCCAAAAAGTCCATGGGTAATTTTAATGAAATCAAACGAGCGAATTTGACACTAGCACAACAAACTATTATTTTATTCAAAGGAATTTACAAAACAATGACATGTAAAATATGTACAAAAAGTTTCGATCAGAATTTGATCAAAATACAGTAAATATTTCACAACAGGTAACTTTGTATTAAGGTTTTGTCGAAATGATTTTGTGAATGAAAGCGACGCGAAAAGAAAGAAGTTCCCACCAGTTGATAAAGATTAAATTGCAGGCTTAATTAATCTTACTTACAAAAAGCCACTGTGTCAGTTGAAACGCTAAACAAGTTTTTTATATTAAAATCTAGCAGTTTAATTCATAAAATAAAGAATATATATGCTAAAGAAGTTGCTTTAAATATTCTCACGATCTTATATAGTCCTTGTAAGAAGCTTATACAATTAAATATGTAGCAATTTTAAGACTATCGCAAAAAACATAGCGACCAAAAAAGAATCTCTCATATTCTCGTATCAATTTAAGTTAATGCGAGTCAAATCTGCATCTCGTCTGGTACGTAATTTGTATGTTGTATGTAAAAAATGCATGATCATTTTTGCTTCCTACTAATAAATTTCCTTTGTTAGCAGGATGTCTAATTAAAATCTTTATCTACATTGGACACGCACGATAAGAAATAAAAAACATAAAATTTAACTCATTAAATGAAAAGAAAAACAGTTTCTGCGGTGTAAAATTTTGATTTAACACACATTTTACAATGCGGTTTTAGAAGTCTTGAAATGGGTTTTAGGGCTAAAGGTCGTCTCATTCACGAAGGGTACCTTACCATTTTATTAGATTTAACACTAGGCTCATCAATCCAAAGAATTTTGGTTTTTTGTTTGTCGTTACGATACTTAGTAATCGTTCACAAGTTGCGAGAGGGGGCTAAACCGTGTAGTGGTTAAAGTGTTTATACTCATTTTATGATTGCGGAAATCAGCTCCCTCAAGATCATAATTACAGAAATTTCTGGCTTTCGGATCGTAGATAAAAAACGCACTACAAAGGTAGTGCTTTATGGAGCTCCCCATGTTATCGAAGGCACTTCAAGCCATAGGTCTCGTTTTTCCTTGGTTACCGCCTGCTACCATTATGCTACCGCGGTCTACATGGCCCTGGACCCTAAGAAATGCTAGAGAAAATTCGACACGGCCATCAGGGCCGCGGTAGCATAATGGTCAGTGCATTCACCCGGATAGCGAAGGGTGTGGGTTCGAGTCCCGCCTGCTCCTTGGTCGCTGGGATTTTTTTCATGAAAAAAAGAGCGGACTCCTTCCTTGAAGGCCGACATCGCATTTGGTATGGGCGATGATCACTTACCATCAGGTGAGCCGTCAGCTCGTATACAATTTTCATGATATCTTTCAAGCATTTTACCGCTAGATGTTTTTTTAATATACTATAGGGGTATAGCATAACAGTAAAGCAGTAAATGCTTAAAAGATATCTCGCATTTTATATTTTTAATTGTTATTAAAACTTGAGTCCCTAACATCCATGCGCCGGTGTTTCAGTTACGCTATGCGGGCGGCTCGGGTTCGACGCCCAGCCGAGGAAAGACTTTTTTCCCAAATTTTATTAGTTAAACCAAAGGCGATATAAAAATAACTTCAAGTTTTGCATTGCATCGGTTTAAAACCATGCCATTCTTTACGATCTTGGATATTGTTTTTCATTCGTCCTCGCGCCTTCTGAACCACAGCACATTAATAAAAGTCTTATCCTTAGATATTTCATATAATAATTTTCAATTGTTGTTTGCTTGTACCCAGCAATCTTTGTGATGGGTACAATGAACGAATACGTTAGCACCCTAAATCAGTATTTTTTCCATATCCGCAGAACCTTTGAATTTCAACATTTTCCATTCGTTCAGCTATAGTTGTTAAACGTTTGCATTTGTCTACATAGATACAGCCACCCCGTGTGGGAGCGGGGGCACCTGGTGCGCACACGGGGGCAGGTGCGTGGGGGGCGCGTGCGCGTGCGCCGGCGCGTGGGGGGGGGACCGCTGCCAGCTGTACGTGGGGCACGACCACGCCTGTGTGCATCAACGGTGCCGCCCCCCCGCCCTCTGCGCCTGGATGCCTGCCCGTGAGTATATATACAGGTGCCAGCTGTACGTGGGGCACGACCACGCCTGTGTGCATCAACGGTGCCGCCCCCCCGCCCTCTGCGCCTGGATGCCTGCCCGTGAGTATATATACAGGTGCCAGCTGTACGTGGGGCACGACCACGCCTGTGTGCATCAACGGTGCCGCCCCCCCCGCCCTCTGCGCCTGGATGCCTGCCCGTGAGTATATATACAGGTGCCAGCTGTACGTGGGGCACGACCACGCCTGTGTGCATCAACGGTGCCGCCCCCCCGCCCTCTGCGCCTGGATGCCTGCCCGTGAGTATATATACAGGTGCCAGCTGTACGTGGGGCACGACCACGCCTGTGTGCATCAACGGTGCCGCCCCCCCGCCCTCTGCGCCTGGATGCCTGCCCGTGAGTATATATACAGGTGCCAGCTGTACGTGGGGCACGACCACGCCTGTGTGCATCAACGGTGCCGCCCCCCCCGCCCTCTGCGCCTGGATGCCTGCCCGTGAGTATATATACAGGTGCCAGCTGTACGTGGGGCACGACCACGCCTGTGTGCATCAACGGTGCCGCCCCCCCGCCCTCTGCGCCTGGATGCCTGCCCGTGAGTATATATACAGGTGCCAGCTGTACGTGGGGCACGACCACGCCTGTGTGCATCAACGGTGCCGCCCCCCCGCCCTCTGCGCCTGGATGCCTGCCCGTGAGTATATATACAGGTGCCAGCTGTACGTGGGGCACGACCACGCCTGCGTGCATCAACGGTGCCGCCCCCCCGCCCTCTGCGCCTGGATGCCTGCCCGTGAGTATATATACAGGTGCCAGCTGTACGTGGGGCACGACCACGCGTGTCTGCATCATTGCGATTTAACAGAGATAATAAACTGAATTTTACTTTGAAAGTAATGAACGAGTAGGTGATATTTCTTTTATTATGTAAAGTACATCTATTGTGTGTTTGCCATTGCGATCACATGTGGTCCATAACTGCAGGCGTACAAACATTACGCTTCTATTTGCAGTGCATCACACTAAAGAATAAATAAACTTTAATCATGGAATATTTGGTTGTTAATATTCGCCATAAATCTCCCTTATTATTGTCTCATCTCAGCATTTATAATTGTATAAATCTCAACCTTTTCCATGTTGTTCTCCCAGTGAATCCCCTGGAGCCCGGCACGCCGTACTGCCTATGCCCGCTGGGGGAACAGTGCGGGCCGGGCGCGGTGCCCGCGGGGGCGGGCCCGGGGGCGGGGCCCGGGGCGGGCCCGGGGGCGGGCGGGGCCCTGCTGGGGGCCCTACTGGCGCTGTTAGCGCTGGCTGCGTTAGTGCTGGCCGCGTTGTACGTGCTGCATCGACGACGATAGTCAGTATTGTTTATATTTTACAGCTTCTTTAAATACTGTTTGTTTCAGCATAAGTATTTATCGTAACACTGACGATTTGGACTTCTACCAAAAGTCTTGGGCGATTGTTGAATTTGTTTTGCTACCCTAGGCGTTCAACGCTATAGATTTAAGCTATGATGGGCTCAGACATGGTGTGAGCTCTCTAAAGACGAACCGGTTTCAAGGACCGTTTTGTGTTCCGCGACGATAGAACCGTTTTACGTTTCGGATCAAAACAGTCTTCGTCGAACAACTAGTCCTCGGATTGTCTGCAGGTCAATATGTACTTTATGGTGAAGTGAATACAGTCTATAATAGAACGCAATGATATGAGGCCGTTTCGTTCTATGATAATTAAGCTTTGATTTTACAATAATATAATCTTTATTATTGAACATTTAAAGTCGATTTTCGTATAACACATTTATTTCGATGTTTCGTCGTCTCGTTCGCAGCAACGAAACGAACGTTAACAAGATTTCATTTAGTTCGGTTTCGTTGCGTTACATTCGTTCGACCGTCGCGTGTCGTTTCGTTGCGTCGCCCGGCCGCAACCAAAACCAGTTGCGAACGAGAACCGTTTCGAGGACTAGTTTTCGTTTAAGAGAAAACGGTTGCGTTTCGTCGTCAGAAAATTTGAGAACAACCCACCGCTAGCTCAGACATGGTAGGAGTGCTGCACCTGCAGGGTTGCTATATCTTACCCTCATGTGGTGGGGCTTTAGTGAGGGCGTTATTGGCACTGTTAGAACTACTAGCTGCATTACTCCTGGCTGCGTCGACGTCATGCTGCTTGTAGTGTTATTTTCTTTATTCCTAGACTATTATTTCGACAACCTCCGCCGCAGCCGAGTGGTTTGGACGCCGGGTATCAAGGTGTCGGCTACTCAAGAGGTCCCGGGTTCGAATTCCGGTGGGGGCAGATGTTTGTGTGATAAATACGAGCATTTGTACTCCAGTCATGGATTTTCAATATTTATTTCTATACATATAAATATAAGGTACCTGATAATAAGGCCTATGCTGAAATAAGGCCTGTAGTGCAGAAAAGTTTATTAAAATATGTTTACATCAAAAATAATTTACACACGCATAGATGACAGTCCTACAACTCGGCAAACTGTGCACCAGCGGTCCGCTCGAGCTCATAGCGTCAGTAGTGGCGGTACTTTGTGAAGGACGAGCTTTTCATAGCGCGTTATTAATTTGTTGTAATCTATAACGAATTTTAATACGTCATTATTTGAAGTTTTGTTTTATGTAATGTATAGGGATCACAATATAACTAATCAAAAAGTTGACTATGACTTTAAATTTAACTTTTTAGAATATGCGAATTAAATACTACTTATAACTTTTATAAAGGTAATAATGTACTAAATAAAGCCTACTTTTATAAAATGCCTTATTTTTATCAAATATAAATCTATCAAAATATATTCATTTTCCAATATTTAATAATATTCACGAAAAGATTATGTTAATTTGCTAATTTTTGTTTGTATGGATATGTTTTTTTTATATTATTCTTAATCTCTTGCTAGCCAGATTTGAAGTCGTATTTATTATGCGAGCAATTTAAGCAAAATATTTAGTAAAATAAATTAGAATGTTGTTCAAGGATCCCATGGAAACACTTGATTAAAGGCTCAGAAATACATTATTTAATATAATTTATACTCTAATAACAATATTCCTATATATTCAAGTACATAGGCTTTTAAAAGGCCTAAGGCTAAGGTTCCAGAATTAGTTCTTTTTAAGTGATTTCTGATAATAGATTGTAATATGTTTGTCTTAATCACTTAACATTTATGAACCAAGGAATAATTCCTTGCTTTTATTTATCACCTTTTTCGAATAATTTATCATGATATGGGTATTTGAAATTAGGTAGGCCTTATTTGTATCCCTCACCTTACTTATATATGTATCAGTATATGTATTCTATCCATTACCCTAGTATTCCATAACACAAATACTTGCTTACAGAACTTATTTTGGGACTAGGCTAATTGGTGTAAGTGTAGGAAATATTTATAATAAATAAATATTATTTATTTATTATTTGCCATTGTATCAATAATAACAAGAAAGTCGATCTTTTTTATTATAATTACTTGCATGAAGTGACACGTGAAAAATAACAAAATTTGATATAGAAGGGTTGCATATCTTCAACCGCTCAGTTCTTTAAGTTAAATAGCTTTTAAATATGGTAGAATGGGAACTAAACCAAATCTTATTCTAACCTTAAGAAAGGTACATCAATATACACTGTTAGTGATGAAAATGATGTTGAAGCAAATTCCTAAAACAATTTTCACCTACCTAGGTAATTATTAGTCGCGTCATCGAATCGAATCCCCTAATTATGACATAGCACATCCAAGCTAACCTGCAAAAGGACTACTTAAATTTGCAAATGAAACACAGGAGCTGTGAATTGAAAATGTTTGCTCATCCGTCCGATGGCCAGAGAAAATGACCTCTAATCTAGGCTTGTTGAAAATATATCGATATTTTTTGTTCGATATATCGATATTTTTAGCCGATATATTTTGATTCGATATATCGATACAAAATAACCAATATCTCGATATCGAAATTCGTATCAAAAACGATATTTTTTTAATGATTAGTGGCATATCACGACCTAATTAAATTCGTATCTGCAAAATCGTAACTGGATCTCAGATTAATGATATTCAACATATCTATGATCTGTGCTATATTTAGTATTGTCTATAATTTGTAAATCTGTTTCGCTGGTGAATTGGTTATGCTGAATTCCATTATATTCTGTGGAAATGTGTGACTGTCTAGTCTTGTTTACGAAAGATGGCACCTGAGAGTCCCTGTAAACATTTTCATCATTCGAAAATAAGGTCTATTTTTAGGGAGATAATTTTTGTTCCATTATTATTCCGCGTGTCATCTTTCGTGAGATACTGTACTGTCATGTAGTGTAGCGGCAATTTGGTACTTTTATAATTCTCTCTTTAATTAATTATAATTTGTATTGTTATTATTACTGTGCTAGGCTGACCTAAATATATTTTTGGGAAAATTGGTCCGATATATCGATGTTTTTTTCGCGATATATCGAAGCCGATATTGATATTTTTTTAAATATCGATATATCGATATTTTTTTCAACTTTCGACATCCCCACTCTAATCAGGGTACAATAGCGGGTAGAGTATAGTAATATAGTTGAAGGTGTAGTGTAGTATTGTTTGTTACAGTAGTGCGTTCGTGCACGCGCGCCTGTCTGACAACGTGGAGATCAACAATCCCATGTACCTGGCCGACGACGAGCCCGAGCCACGCCCACACACGGTAAATATATACAATCAAAATATATAAATTACTAGCTGTCCCAGCGAACTTTGTACCGCCATAAAAAATGGGGGTTGGTGGGAGAAGGGTGAAAATTTGGCGTTGAATGTATTTTTGTATGACGTATCATAATAAAATTAAAAAAAAAAATCTAAAATTGAAAAAAAAAATTAGGGGTGGATTACCCTTAACATTTAGGGGGATGAAAAATAGATGTTGTCCGATTCTCAGACCTACCCAATATGCACACAAAATTTCATGAGAATCGGGAAAGCTGTTTCGGAGGAGTTTAACCGCGACACGAGAATTTTATATATTAGATATTTATTCGGAATCGTCATACTCCAGGGGTACTCTATACTCTATGGAAATTTTAACTAGTAGTTCAAATTTAAGCTAAAAGTTTTTCTGGGTAATTCATTACCCAGAGGTAATAATTAATATACATATTTAAATCAAACGAACCAGGCAAAAGACGGGACACGAACTTGCACCCTCCGCTATCCGGGCGAATGGACTGACCATTGTGCTACCGCGGACCTGATGGCTATGTTTAATTTCCTCTAGTATTTCTTAGACTAAGGCAAGCGCCATATTTTTCGCATTGTATATAATGTAATAAAACCCACAATGTCTAATTACAAGTATTAAACATTTGACGAAAGAAATAGCAATTATACTTACATTTTGATTTTTAAGCATTTACCAGAAAGAAACAAATATCTAAATAATATATTTTGAGTAAGATTTAGGTACTTTTTTGCTAATTTATTGTATAGGGACTTTAAGATATATTTTTATAGGGACTCCATTATTTAAAAACTTAATGAATGTTAAAAAGAACGAACCCTATATTAGTCATACTATATAATAAAAAAGTCGTTACAATGTTTTTCTTACAGAATATTATGTCATTTAACAATATATTATTTTGTTTATTACAGAATGGCGGAAATCATTTTGCCAACCCTGTGTACGAGAGCATGTACGCGCCGCCGCAGCACAACCCTGAGGTAATGTGGTACATTCATCTATTTTAAAAAAAAAATGGGTGCGTGTACTTATGTAGGCGCGTGAGAAGTTATCCTTCTTTGGCATCGTTTAAAATTAGTTTTTAATTGCATGCAAATAATTAATTACAATAAATTAATAAAAAGTCTGGAAAAGGACACAGTCAATAAAGTTCAGTTTTAATTTGAAAAAATAAATAAATAATCAAAATATTTTTATTAAAATCGCTACTGAATATAATTTATTAGAACATATGTGATTTGCACTTGTATGAAACTCAAACACGTATTCCGAATATACAAACTAGAAACATGTGGATAAATATTATAAATATGAATACCTATAACTGTTACTTTATTACAATAATAACATAAAAATAACATTGAAAAATAAAGATGTGGTTTTTGGTTCTACTACACCAATGGTCAAGAGATGGCGCTGTAGTCTCCTGAATCGCGCTTTGGTTCCGTTGTTCCAGATTAATAAATACTTTTGATAGGCCTTCACAATGCAGTCGTTAGCACCCACTAAATAGAGATTCTATTTCTATTTTGTTGGTAGATTTTCTTAATGTGCGGTAAACACAAAAGTAAGAGCATGAAGTTGGTCGCTAAAGCGACCAACTTCATGCTGTTAATTTTTTGTGTTACAGTGATGCGCGCGCATCTTAAAATTTCACTCTCATCATTTTTTCATAACGCGCCTAAAGAAGTATAACTTCAAAAAATTTTACTTAAAAAAAATGTACTTTTATAGTCTAAGGCAGTATTCGAACCTAGTCTTCCGCAATCAGGGCGGACGCGCTAACCTAAAAGGCATTAATGCCCGTGTCGAATTTATTCAGATATTTCTTAGGTCTATAAAGGCAGCACCATCTCTTCGCATTATAGGTAACCCACAATGCTGCCAAACGAAATACTTTTATAAAATTTGACACAGACAGGCCCAGACGATCATTATATATATTTCTTTATTTATTAATAATTTTATCAACAATAATGAATTAATTTAATAATTATTTTTTATTTTTTGATTAATTATTTTTGTTTTATTTATTGTCCAATTATTAGCTAAGCTTATAAGTAACTTACATAAATCAATTTAGCTAGCAAGCAACTTGATGTATAGATAGTGATAATAGAACTGCAAACTAAAACAAAATACCGAAAGGATTTGTAATAATTTACCCACTGACCGAGTGTGGAGGTCACCAATCTTGTATTTTTTTTCTGCAAATATCTAAATATCACACAAACAACTCAAACAAGCATCAAACCTTAGATAAATCACAATTTGTTGTTCTGTATTCGCTATCAAATTAACATACTTGTAAAGCATTTTAAAAATCGGCTTTTTGTATTATATATTGTCTTTTTCATCGACAGGTAGATTATCAAAAATATATTGGACACGTTTTTTATTATCATCATCATCATCATCATCATCATCATCATCATAAGGCTATTATTGTCCCCACTGCTGGGGCACAGGCCTTCCCTATGGATGGAATAGGGAGATTAGGCCATGAGCCACCACGCATAATCACATAATAATAATAATAAAATAATAAATAATAATAAAATAATAAATAATAATAAAATAATAAATAATAACATAATCATTTCACATAATCGAAACATTACAAATATATATTGGTTTGAAATGACGCATGACTTCACGTCTACGTACAATTTTTACTTAGAAGTCACGTCACTAGCGCCCCATTCCCAAATTCCGCGCTTTATAAGTATCCATTATTTTTTGATACTCTAACTGATGATGGATTAAGTAGAATTTATTTTTCATCCCACCACCTCGGAAAGTGTAATTTTGCGCTTCGAAATCTGGCTGGAAAATTCTATTTTATTCGCTTGAGCGGCAAAGTAGATTTGAATTTAGAACATCACATATAATGAGTACTCAATATAACTGTAAATTCAAAACGTCATTAAACCTATTTAATGTAACCTCTATGGTGCCAAATTTATGATTAGAACTTTTTAAATTGTGAAAAAATTTAAATTTGGAACCTTCTTGGTTTCTTTGTTTTATTTGCGTGCTTCGCGCCATTCTAGTTTTTCACGTTTTATTGCTTAAATATTTTGTCATTATAAATTGTTTTCTTTTTCATTTTGTCATTTCCTCGCTGAGGTGGGATGAAAAGTTACGTATTGCACTCGAGTGGAAAGATTTTTCACCTTGTGCTCGTTTGTTTCCCTCGCTGACGCTCAGGATTCTAATTTAGAATCACTCGCTGCGCTCGTGATTCAACTTTAGAATCCTTCGCTTGCTCGGTCATCCAAATCGAGCACGCGGTTAAAAAGGAACTTTCCACTCTTGTATAATAAATAACTATTACTTTACCCTCTTAGTTAATGCTATATTTAAATAATAAAAAAAAACGACGGGTTGCACTCCGGGAGTGCCGGTAGAAGTGAAAACTTGAATATTAACGTTGTGTATTTTTGATATTTTGTAATGGTTAGGGAATAATTTTGCACGAATTGCTTTAATTATCAGTATAAAAGTGCTATTATGTATGTGGTAGTATACAATATTTATTTATTGCGCTATCGTACACAAACATGAGAATTTATATTACATTAAAAAAGTTTATTTCTCAGAAAAATCAACTTCCACGAATCACGTTTGCACTTAGCGACATCTATTGTAAAGAAATCAACTTACATGAATCACATTTAAGCGCAACTAGCGACATCTTTTGTAAAAAAAAGCATTTTCTTCGCAATAAAGCTGCCACGTGGGCGTCCTAGATAGAGACTTGTTTAACCTGACGCGAGTTTAACATTTTTTACCCATACAATAAAAAAGTACAGCGCCGCTAAAGAAGTTTTCACTTCAAAAAAGCTCCAACGTTTAACCTTGCCTTTGGCTTTAACATTTGTTTGTTTCTTGATATATCGAAATTATTGAAAAATTGGTGTGCGTTAAACCCTAAGAAACAAAAATGCTATATTTTTTAAATAATATATATATTTTGTTGCAGGAGCAGGCCAACCTTCTGACGGAAGGCGACGGCTCCCCGCCGCAGCCGGAACGAGCTGCGCTTATCTAATCTAAGCTTACTCTGCCGACCAAACAACTTTAGCTTACAATCATTTAGCACTAGAGAATATTGCAGGTGCAGAAACCAAGTTTAAGTAGCTTATACGTATCAATTACGTAATACAAATACTTGAGCAACTTAACCATGTGATTTTTCCTTATATATCTTTTAAGAAACCGATGTTAAGAATAACGATATTTGTTAAAGTGTTAAAATTGATAGTAACTAGAGTACTTTATCGGTTCCACTGTAATCATTCATTACCTGTTTTTATGAGTACCAATCCATCGTCGCCACACCTTAATTTAAAACTATTCGGACCTTAGCAAAGATTTGTTTATTGTGGTGTATCTATTTACCTATCAGAATACTTTATTACACTATTTCACAGCTCATCGGCAGAATAATGTCACTGTAGGTAAAATACAGTTTTTAACTTAGTGTTGTATGTTTATTGCTTGATTCTACAGTTTACATATCCTAATTGGCCAAACTTGCCTTTTTTATATCTATTATTTATATATTTAGATGATGAAATTGCATTTGACTCTCTTATAACTTCTAGACTAACTTTTTCCTTATAATGTTTTAAATAAAAAGATTCCTTACTCCGCGGACTAAAAATATGTGGTACGTATTACAAGTACCATATTTTTTTCTATATTTAAGTGGGGAAAAAATATAAATTGTGCGAAATTGAATATAATTAATTAAAACTTATCGATTCTTAATACAAGTATTTATATTTTAATATAAATCTTCGAATGTATCATATCTCAAAGACCAAATATGAGGGTAATTTGATATTTCTTAAGAATAGTGACTTAAAATGATTTAAATATAATGCATAGGGTAAGCGAAGGTATTTTTCGATGTAGATCGCAATAATTGTTTTGATCTTTAGTACATATAGTTTTAAGAGCTAATTTAGTGTGCAGAATTCATTTTAATAATAGTGCAAGTATATTGTTCCATTCTTTTAGTGATTTTGATGCAATACAATGTGAATCTTTAATTCTGGTTAGTGATATCTTTAATTTAAGGTTACGTGTAATTGATTTGTGATATACTCCTGTAATTAAGACTATATAGGCATTATACATTATTTGATTCGAAATATTCTGACGAAATTCCTTTATACCATTTATTGCGGTTTTAATCTTACCAATCTTATTTTTGCTCAAACGCTTTGAGTAAATATAAGATTTTATTCGGATGCTCAAAATTCCAGTATTAAAAAGTACACGTTGTGCCATATCTTATAGGATTGTGATTATTTTGTTAGTACTTATATTGGATTTAAACTATTAGCGATACCTTGAGTCGCGTGGACCATCATTATTTCAGTCTCAAAAGGTCGTTATGCGAGTTCAGTACAATAATTTACAGAGCCAGTGTACAATATATTTTCTAAGATTTGAGCAACGGCCTAATATGTGTTTGAATAAAATTTTACAGGAGAAATATTCCTGCAGTACAATAAATTTTATTAATTATAATAATATTATAAATAGGAACTTAATATTAGTTCGATTTTAGCACCAACACCTGTAACTGATTTTAGTTCGCACAACTGTATCCTCTGACATTCATAATTACAATTCTTTGGCAGCTAATTTGGGTCGTGATAGATAATTTTACAAATACTATTATTGTGGTGATGTTTCGATGTAACTATGAGACTGCGTATGTCGTTTTGTTTATAATAAATTAGCCAAATTTATTCCTAGTTGTAAATTTATTCTGAATTTTTATTATACAATCACCTCCAAATCACAAAAGCAAGAATCTCTTTTACTTTATTATTTTAAGTTTTACGAATAATAAAATACATGTTCATATTCCAGATTTTTATTTTATAATAATTACAAACTATCCAATAATGAGGCTCGAAATTAACAATAATATTTCATGATGCCGTTATTAGATCGTGCTAAACAAAAGTATCAACAAATTTACTATTGGGAAATATAATAAATCAACTGCATTTCCTTATTTTTATTTGAACATTTACAAGACAGTTTCAGTTATTATCAATTTGTTTGCATAATTTAAGATTCGTTTTCAGTTTATGTAACAATAAAAACAGTAATTGTTATTAATATAAATGAAACATTAGTACAAAATAATCAGAAACTCCATTATTGACAAAAATAAAGTCATTTTTATAGCACATTCTGAAACGTAAACAGTATCAGCCTAAACAACATTTGCGAGCGAAAAATCCTCTGTCCGTCACACTTAGGTCTATTCATTTTTAAGATTGATTAAATTTAGTGATGTATCTGCATTCTTTGCTTTGGCAAATTTAATGGGTCTCTATCGATGTCGATTAGAATGAGGATTACCCTTAATTGTGATATGTGTGTAGGCAAGCAGGGGCAATTCAAGCATCGTCTCTTATTGAAGTTAAGTCCAATGTTTAAGTTATTACTCATAATAATATGGCGTTTTAACGCTTTTACTCTAGGGCTAAAAATGCCATGACAGTAGAAGCCGTATTGTAAGCCATTTCACATTGGTTACTGACTTCTATTTTATATCTATTAACGGGATTGTTACCATGTATCTTGTTTTCATGGCGCTCGCAACGGTACCGAAATATCGGAGATTCAAAAAAAACCTGGTACATGGTAGCAATCCCGTTAATAGCTATAATGTTACTGACCATGAAAGTGCAAAACAGACTGACATTTTAATTACAAAAAATCACGGGATTTTTATTTTTAATACTCTTTTATTGTGATGGGGGGGGGGGGGGGGGGTGTCAAAATCTTCAGTAGAAGTCGTCTTCAATCTGCGTGGGGGCTGGAGCGTGGTTCTTCACTTGATCCTGGTTCAGATAGAGCTGCGCTATTTGCTGCGAACTCGTTGCCTGCTCTGGAGTTTTGTCCTCCCGCACTCGAACGAATCTATAGACAAAAACCGATCTAATGTATATATATTTGACGACCTCCGTGGCCGAGTGGTTTGTACGCCAGGTTTCATGGTGTCGCCGACTCGAGAGGTCCCGGGTTCGAATCCCGGTGGGGCCGCAGATGTTTGTATAATGAATAGGAGCATTTGTACTTCAGTCATGGATGTTTAATATATATTTCTATATGAATCTAATATATAAAATTCTCGTGTCGCGGTGTTTGTGGTTAAACTCCTCCGAAACGGCTCGACCGATTTTCGTGAAATTTTATATGCATATTCAGTAGGTCTGAGAATCGGATGTAATCTATTTTTCATCCCCCTAAATGTTAAGGGCAATCCACCCCTATTTTTTTTTCAATTTTAGATATATATATTTTTTTTTATTTTTTTATGATACATCATACAAAAATACATACAACCCTAAATTTTCACTCTTCTACCACCCACCCCTATTTTTTTATGGCGGTACGAAGTTCGCTGGGTCAGCTAGTATACTTATATATGTACAGTGTAATTATTCTATCCGTTACCCTAGTATCCCATAACACAAGCCTTATAGTGCTTATTTTGGGGCTAGGCTAATTGTTGTGTTAAAAAAAATACAGGGAGAAAAAACAGCCCTTGCTGAGTTTCTTGCCGGTTCTTCTCAGTACAAGGTCTCCCGCCGTAGATTTGCGAGCCGATGGCGTAGCTTTTCGACATTCACAAGTGCTTGTAACAGCCTAGACTGAATAAACGATATTAAATTTTGAATTTTTTGTATTGAATTCAAAATTCTGAATTCTGAACTTCTGAATGCTTTGGTTCTGCGCTAGTATGAATTGACCATAAGTAAACAGACGGTGATTTCTCTTACCAGTTGTGGGTATAAACAATCCAATGACTCTTTTATGTAACACAATGTCGGCATGTCAGTGTCTCAAGAAAAGCCAGTCGTTTTAAGCAGGTCTATGCTAGAATTTTTACTTTTGTCAAAGCGCTGAACGTCAACAAATAAGTTTTATCGAAATCGGTCCAGACGTTGAGAAGTTTCATCATTTCGTACAATATTTTTTAAATGCATCATAAACACAGCTTTTAAATTGCTATTGACTTTACATAAATTTATCTACGAATGTCATTAAAACTTTATCATTATTGGATTAAAAAAAAAGAGCGAGCCTTACAGTAGTAGCGTATGATGTGCAACATTTGAAACCTCACCTTATATTAATAAATAAAGGAATAAAACCTATTACAAAAGGAATAAACCATTTGAACATTATGTTCTAAAATCAAATCAAAAGCGCGCGCTTCCCAAACTTCCTGTTACACACTTCCGTCCCACTTCACGTAATCACTCCCAAAAATTGCACGAAAGCGAGAGGAAAGATGTTACACATCAAAAAATAGATCTACTCATTACTGAAGATTGAATATTGTAATCGTCCGACAGTTATAAGTTACTAACGTTTTCGTCTTCAACGCAGGATTTATAGCAATACTAGCTGTCCCAGCGAACTTCGTACCGCCATAAAAAAATAGGGGTTGGTGGTAGAAGGGTGAAAATTTATTTTTGCATGTATTTTTGTATGATGTATCATAAAAAATTTAAAAAAAAATATATCTAAAATTGAAAAAAAAAAAGTTTAGGGGTGGATTACCCTTAACATTTAGGGGGATGAAAAATAGATGTCGTCCGATTCTCAGACCTACCCAATATGCACACAAAATTTCATGAGAATCGGGAAAGCCGCTTCGGAGGAGTTTAACCACAAACACCGCGACACGAGAATTTTATATATTAGATTTATTGGTTTATTTTTTTATAAATAACATAATCCAGTATAGTATCAGTGTATTTACCTGGGGAACCGCAGCGAGATTCCCTTATCTCTGTCGACGAGCCCCAACGCGGCGCGATGTGCCGGAGATAGAGACAGATCAGCGCATCTCACTTCCCACACGCACGCAGACTCGAACCACGCGTCCGGACGATGGGAGGAGTCGAACCTGGTACCGAGACATAAGGCAATATAAGAAAAGGGGCCGTTCAAGTATTACGTAAGCAGATTTATTACAATTATTGAAGTGAAACTTCTTTATCGGCGTTGGAAAAAAATTTACCGTCACATACCGATACTCGCTCAGCGATACTCGCCCAGCGATACTCGCTCAGCGATTCTCGCTCAGCGATACTCGCTCAGCGATACTAGCTCAGCGATACTCGCTCAGCTATACTCGCTCGGTTAAGCTGGCTTGGCTGTCAAAAGCCGTGCGCGTGCATTTTAACTCAGGACTGCCAATTCGTTTCTAGTTTCTACTCGCTTATCGTTCATCGTCGGAGGTGGAACATGTGCCTTAGATTACTGAGCCGTGTAATCATAACAGTTTCATAGGCAGTAATTTGTATTCATGTCTATGATAATAAAATCCTTTTGTTTAAACTTTATCTAATTTAACTTTATTTAACCAATTTCTGGAAAGTTGCATGTATATCATTTTTCGAAAAATAAGGCCATAAAGAAGTTTCACTTCTTACGTGTGTACACTAGTACATGCACACATTTTTTTACCCCCTCCTCCCCCTTGTCAGCAAAAGTAAGCAAAGCTCTTGCCCCCCCTCCCATGCTTACGTAAGCATTGGTACCTATATACGTTTTTCCTTTAATGTATCCTTTTTTTTATTGATTCATGAGTTTTCGTGAGGTTCATGAGCAGCAGTACTTAAATAGGCTTAGGATAGAGCACTTTAATGCACATAATATTCATATTAACAAACTTAATTGACACAGTATTTAACATAGAGTAAGGTACACATATTATAATCTTATTAAGTACGAACAAAACAAACTTCTTTCAAATTTTTGGTATACATATTAATTCCAATTAATAGTCTTCAGTCCATGGCACCCGAAACCATGATACTGACGTAAACACTACCTCGACCCCCTCCCCCATGTCATCAAAAATAAGCAACGCAAAGACCCCCCTGCCCCCTTATAGTGCTTACGTAACACTGGAACGGCCCCAAAGCGTCAATTTTGTCGTGCCTCCCGAAGAGATAACTTAAACTATCCTATGAAACATAGGCGCGGAAATAAGTCAGCAGTGTGTGAACATGCATTAGGGGGACCAAACCATTACATTAGATTTGATAAACCACAGATCCTTGCAACTGAACAAAGCGTTTCATTCCTAGAATGATACGCGAAGCTATTGAGTTTAAGAAATATCCAAATTTCAATAGGGAAGATGGTTGCTATATACCAAAATTATAAAAAAAAAACAATTAAATAAAGTACTTCATTATTTAAATTAGCTAATACATCATATAATAATAATAACTTTATTGCTTAATAAACTGTGTACAATTTTGCAGTTGGAATTGCAATAATAACAAAGTCACAACAGTGTGCCCACAACGGGCATGCAATGGTAAAATTTAAATAAAAGTATTCAAATAAAATATATGGCCAATAGTTTTAAAAATCTTCCAAAGAAATATTCGAACGCTCAATAAAAGTCTTTCATCTTTCGGTAGCTCGACAAAGTAAATAAAATCAGTGCATCTATACTGTTGAAACTTGATTTATATAAAATTTCCTTTTTTGAGCAGATGAGATTGGTAGGTAAAAAGCGATTCAAGAGTGAGAAGGTGGATTGGTGGGTGGTAGCGGGGATTGATGGGTGACGGAGTGGATGTTGTCCGGGGACACGATCTATCTATACTAATATATCTTGTTTACGGCGGCTAAGGGAAGCTAGACAGACTGGCGCCGTAACGCGTTACGTAACGAAGCGGTTTACTCTCCCATAAGAAGTTAAAATTACAATAAATAATCCAACACTCATACCAATTAGCCTAGCCCCAAAGTAAGCACTGTAAGGCTTGCGTTACTAGGGCAACGGATAGAATACATATACATGAATAAGTATATTTATACAGAAATACATATCAAACATACATGACAATAAGTACCTCAAGTATTCGAGGTACTTATTACTACTAACTGTAATAAGTACCTCACATTACTAAATAATGAGTTACAGTTACTTTTGTAAAATCCATGATAATTGTACATATCATGTGCCCATTGACTATGTAATTGACCAAAGGTTTTTTATGTCTTCCGCATGTAGTAAAATAAACACTGTAATTGACTATTCCGCATACAAAGATCAGTTTTTGAAATATCTTTATATATATAATTCTTCTGTGAGTGTGTATGTCACTGAACTTCTCTTAAACGACTGGACCGACTTTGATGAAATTTTTTGTGTGTGTTCAAGGGGATCTGAGAATGGTTTAGATTCACAATTTTGTCCGCTAGACAATGTTTTTTTAATTAATTTTTTTTATGGCGGTACGAAGTTCGCTGGGTCAGCTAGTGAAAATATAAAATTATATTTAAAGAACTCATCTTCGGAGCTATCTCATATTATTTTCAGTGATATAATCTTGCATAAAGACTGATATTTTCCCCTCTTCGAGTACCTATAAGTTAGAATGAATCCATATTTGTTTCTTAGGATTTCACGCAAACCACTCATTAAATAAACCAAGTTTTAACGGTATAGATCTGAAAAGGATGTGATGCCGGATGGAAAACGTCATAAATAAATAAATCAGTGCATCTTTACCGTTCAAACTTGTTTAATAGAATGAATCCACCTAAATTAGACTATTCAAAAGTGATGTCTTAAAAGAATATTATAAAATTTATGTTTTTATTTATTTTTAAGCATTTGACTGCTAGATGTTTAAATCTAAAGACACGCGGACCAGGCAGCGGACGGGACTCGAACCCGCACCCTTCGCAATCCGGGCGAATGCACTGACCAATTATGCTACCGCGGCCCTCATGGCCGCGTCGAAATTTTCCTAGCCTTAAGCTGCAAGGCAGCGCCATCTCTTCGCATTGCGAAGGGTGCCTGGTCCGCGTGGATTTTTTTCTAGTAAAACTTTTCTTTAGATCATAAATTTTACCTGTAATATGTCCTCGGCGCGTCTATAAGATGCTCGTTCAACTGTTGACTGAGCGTTTGCAGTTGCTCATCGCTGAATCCCGTACCAATCTTGCATAAGGACTGGTATTCTTCCCCCTGTGAATCCCTGCAGGCCAGCAGGAATCCTCCGTAGACCCCGGCGCGACGGCCTCGTCCCAAATACCCGCCTATCACTACCGCGTCTACGGTGTCGCCTACACCTTCTAGGTAGTCTTTCTTTAGCTGAAACGTGGAAATATTTAATAATAATAAAAATTGACTATGAAAGAAATAATATATATGATTGAGAGCAGATGGTGTAATATTATAGTTAACGATTGAAGGTATATTGTGAAAAGTGATCGACGGTTACCGTGAGCAATAAAGACAGTCTGCATCCTACAACCGTCGTTTCAATGCACGTTACAGATGGGACGGATCTTTAGATTTAAAAATTTAGCAGTTAAACGCTAAAAAAATAAAAACATAACTAAAATAATTGAGGAATTCAATGGCGCGGGTGGTTAGCGCGTTCGGCTGCGATCGTTGAAGTTAAGCAACTTTCGCAGTGGTCGGTCATTGGATGGGTGACCAAAAATCTTCTATCTCGAGTTCCTCCGTGCTTCGGAAGGCACGTTAAGCTGTTGCTGCGTCTATAGTCGTAAGCAGCCGCCAATCCGCACTGGGCCCGCGTGATGGGTCATGGTCCAATCTCCCTATTCCATCCATATGGAAGGCCTTGCCCCAGCAGTGGGGACATTTATAGGCTGATGATAATGAATAATAATAATATTCTTTATTGTAATACACCATACAAGAGACAAAAGTAAATTGAAAACGATAGACAGAACGTACACAATAAAGGCGGCCTTATTGCTAGGCAGCAATCTCTTCCAGGCAACTCATAATAGAAAGATAAATAAATATGAAGGAGAAAAGAAGGGGTTTAATATTAAATAATAATAATATCAATGGCAGGGAAACAGATATATGTAAGGAAGGCAAGAGAGAGGATGAAGATATAAATACGTGTTCAATACTATTTTGACGACCTCCGTGGTCGAGTGGTTTGTACGCCGGGTTTCATGGTGTCGGCAACTCGAGAGGTCCCGGGTTCAAATCACGGTGGGGTCAGATGTTTGTGTGATGAATACGAGCATTTGTATGTTATATTAATATGTATTTTCTATATAAATATACTTATATACTGTACATATATATATAATGGTGCAAGTGGTTAGCGCGTTCGGCTGCGATTGTTGAAGTGAAGCAACTTTCGCAGTGGTCGGTCATTGGATGGGTGACCAAAAATTTACTATCTCGAGTACCTCCGTGCTTCGGAAGGCACGTTAAGCCGTTGGTCCCGGCTGCATCTGCAATCGTTAGCACCCGCCAATCCGCACTGGGCCGGCGTGGTGCGTCATGGCCCAATCTCCGTATTCCATCCATAGGGAAGGCCTGTGCCCCAGCAGTGGGGACATTAATAGGTTGATGATGATGATGTACAGTATATGTATTCTATCCGCTACCCTAGTATCCCATAACACAAGCCTTATAGTGCTTACTTTGGGGCCAGGCTAATTGGTGTGAGTGTTGGAAATATTTATATATTTATTTGATAATCTTCCTGATAGATGAAGAAAAAAATTATACATCATCCCTATTGAAGTACAGACCAATAGGGAAAAGTAGTTAGGCATAAAGGGAATGAAACGAAAATTTATTTGTATGAAATATAGTTTGTCAAAGTTGGTGAAACGGACTGAGAAACGGGCTAACGATAAATAAATATTTCCAACACTCACACCAATTAGCTTAGCCCCAAAGTAAGCACTGTAAGGTTTGTGTTATGGGATACTAGGTTAACGGATAGAATACATATATGTGGGAAGCGGGAATCAAACCAGGAAAATACTTTATACTGGTTTATTGGAAATTATCACTTTTAATAATTTTACAACACACACACTTTTAGCACACGTCGTCGTAGCCATTCGTCTTTCGTCTCCCTCGCACAAGTCCCTTCTTATTCTCCACGTTCGGAAACATCATCACGCATTCACAATGTTTGGATACAAACCCATCCCACATATATCTAATATATAAAATTCTCGTGTCGCGGTGTTTGTGGTTAAACTCCTCCGAAACGGCTTTCCCGATTCTCATGAAATTTTGTGTGCATATTGGGTAGGTCTGAGAATCGGACGACATCTATTTTTCATCCCCCTAAATGTTAAGGATAATCCACGCCTAATTTTTTTTTCAGTTTAGATATTTTTTTTTTATTTTTTTTATGATACATCATACACAAATACATACAACCCTAAATTTTCACCCTTCTACCATCAACCCCTATTTTTTTATGGCAATACGAAGTTCGCTGGGACAGCTAGTATAGATATATTTACATATTTAACATCCACGACTGGAGTACAAATGCTCGTATTCATCACACAAACGTCAGCCCCCACTGGGGTTTGAACCTGGGGCCTCTCGAGTCGGCGTCACCATGAAACCCGGCGTTTAACCACTCGGCCACGGAGGTCATCAATAATGATACCTTGAGCCAGTTGTGCGATCTCCTCGCGATGTCGTATGCAGCCCGGGGCCCTTCTAAAGCCTTCACCATGAGCCCCTCGCAGGACCCCTTCACCGCATCAGCGAGGGCTGTCTGTACTTCTTCTATGTTGCTGCAGTCTTTGGACGCGGCGAATTCCCATTCCCCTAACATTACAAAGGTTTAAAATCTTTATACTCATAATTTTTTTTAAGCATGTAACTGCTTCATGTTTAAATCTAAAGAAAATATAACTAGAAAAAATTCAACGCGGACCAGGCGGCAGATGGGATTCGAACCCGCACCCTTCAAGCGGTGTAACTGCTTGCTTAAAAAAAAGAATATAACAATATATATATATATATATGTTTTAATTTTTTAAGCATTTAACTGATAATGTTGAAATCTAAAGAAAAGTTTACTAGAAAAAATTCCACGCGCACCAGGCAGCAGACGGGATTCGAACCCGCGCTCTTCGCTATCCGGGCGAATGCACTGACCATTATGCTACCGCGGCCCTGACGGCCGTGTCGAATTTTCTCTAGCCTTAGGCTGCAAGGCAGTGCATTCACCCGGATAGCGAAGTGTGCGGGTTCGAGTCCTGTCAGCTGCCTGGTCCACGTGGATTTTTTTCTAGTAAACTTTTCTTTAAATTTAAACCTGCATATTTTTTTAGTTTTTTGTTTGCGTCATTCTGTTAATTTCTAGGTCATGATCTTTACCTGGGATATGGTTGCAGTGTTCCTTCAGTAAGGCGCGCCTCTCCTTCAAAGGGGAGGAGACGAGGGCTGCCCCGTTCAGGTATAACAAGTCGAATGCATACACACACACTTGAACCTTAATCTCCGCCTCGTTGGCGTCCTTGCGTTTACGCGTCGACAGAATCTGTACACGTAAGTACAATTAGTTAAAACGTAACAAAAATGTTTGTTTGCTATTGCATATTTCGGTTCTGTGAGACAGAAATGTTAAAATCTATCTTAAAACAACAAAATTATGTGTTGATTAAATTATTCATGTATTTAAATAGCTCGATAGCGCAGGTGGTTAGCGCGTTCGGCTGCGATCGTTGAAGTTAAGCACTGTCGCAGTGGTCGGTCATTGGATGGGTGGCCAAAAATTTACTATCTCGAGCTCCTCCGTGCTTCGGAAGGCACGTTAAGCCGTTGGTCCCGGCTGCATTTGCAGCTGTTAACACCCACCAATCCGCACTGGGCCCGCGTGGTGGGTCATAGCCCAATCTCCCTAATCCATCCATAGGGAAGGCCTGTGCCCCAGCAGTGGGGACATTAATAGGCTGATAATGATGATGATGATGATGTATTTAAATAACGTATAATATGTAAATAAATCAAGTTTCAACGGGTTAGATGCACTGATTTTATTTATTTATTGACGTTTCGCAGCCTTTGCAGGAATGCGTCGTCTGACAATGTCACATGTTAGTGTAGTGCGACAAGGCTCTTTATGAACGCGGCGAAAATTGCAACTACCGCCGCCATCTTTGTAAACGTCATATTTATATTGTATATAATTTGCGTCAGTGGCGCCCTCCTCGAATTGCCAGTCACATTCATTAAGATAATAGGGTGTTTGACAAGTTTTAGAAAACGATCTCACGTTATTGACTAATGTTTATGGAGTCCGTAAAAAGTGGATATTCATCATTCTGTTGTGTATTTCAGTAAAAATAACCAAATCAAAAACTCAATTTTCAAATTGCCGCGAAAACGTTTCTCTGGACAATATGGCGTCTCACTGGTGTGTGACGTCACACGACTGTTATATAAACGTCAAACGATACAATGTAATGTCAGTTTAACCGGAAGTTTACTTGCGTTTGAGTCATTTTATGCTCCGCCAATCCCAAGCGTTTTGGGTCACGTGACAATAGATAAGAAAACTATTATCTTTTTCGTGGGTTTTTAGTAAAAGAATGAATATTTTTTCGGTAAAAATAGTGAAAACTCCTGCCAATATTCATTCTAAACACAGATGCTAACAATTGGGCCTTTATTTTTCATCATCATCATCATCATCGTCAGTCTCTTAATGTCCCCACTGCTGGGGCACAGGCCTTCCCTATGGATGGAATAGGAAGATTGAGATTGAGAGATGGAGATTGGGCGTGAATATATAATTTTAATACTGTCAAATACCCTATTGTCACACTGTACATCTGTAACCCCTCGTTTAGACCAAGGTATAATACATGTACAAAACATGTAGTATCAAACTTGTTGAATACACAAAATATATGAAGTAAATAACCGATTCATACTTGAAAGATACTAGTTATCTATGCCAGTGTAAACAAAATAATGTTTTAAACAGCCACAGGAAGTATTCTACATGTATTGTTTAGAACTAGTATATGACTTAAGAAAATTTTACTAGAAAAAAATTTCATACGGACGAGACAGTAGACGGGCCTCGAATCTGAAACCTTCGCTATCAGAGCGAATGCACTGACCATTATGCTGCTGCCGGCCTGACGGCCGTGTCGAATTTTCTCTAGCCTTTCTTAAGCTGCAAGGCAGCGCCATCTCTTGGCATTGTAGGTAACCATGGAATGTTTTCTAGTAAAATTTTCTTCAGGTTTAAACATCTAGCAGTTGCATGTTTGAAAAAATGAATAGTATATTACTTGTAATTTTTATTATTTTAAAGCATGTAACTGCTTAATGTTTAAATCTAAAGAAAACATAACTAGAAAAAATTCCACGCGGACCAGGCAGCAGACGGGACTCGAACCCGCACCCTTCGCAATCCGGGCGAATGCACTGACCAATTATGCTACAGCGGCCCTCACGGACTGCGTCGAAATTCTTCTAGCCATTCTTAAGCTGCAAGGCAGCGCCATCTGTTCGCATTACAGGTAACCCACATAGATTAATTATACATAGGATTGCGATGGGTGCGGGTTCGAGTCCCGTCTGCTGCCTGGTCCACGTGGATTTTTTTCAAGTTATATTTCCTTTAGTATATTACTTGTTTATTAGTGACAACGAGGGTGTTACTAGACCGATGATGACAATGAAGCGATAGGTACCTGGAAGGGTAGAATCTGTTTGGCCTGAATGTCGTATGCCACCACCTCGCAGTCCAGCACGCAGCTGGACACGCCGGCCTTCAGCAGCGATGGCAGACGATGGAGAACATCTGGATATTTACTGCGAAAGATAACATTTTTGATGTGTAACATCTTTCCTCTCGCTTTCCTGCAATAGGCTAGTTGACCATTTTTGGAAAAAGGTTTTAACTGGTTAATAAATGTTCTATGAGACCGAAAAAAAATGTGTTGTATTTTTTTGAGACCTATAAAGCTACAAATCTACAATTTTAAAATAGTCTTTTCATGGACATACAAAAGCTATCTGAGTTTATAATAAAAAAAAATATCTATCTGAGTTTATAATAAAAAAAAACATGATTTCTAATAGATACCAAGAAAAATATAGTAATTATCATTATTGTATTGTACGTGAATGTAAAAACACATCCTTGAAGACTCCAGGAAAGTTGTGGATTAAAGTGCCGAAAGAAATTAACCTACGCAATACCTGGGGGCCAATCGCCTAACTGGGGGCCAATCGCCTAACGGAAATGCTTTGGAAAACGCTAACGCTTACGATTTTATTTTCTTATTTCTAGCCGCCTGAGGTATTCAAATGCCTCTCGCTCTTTCTTTTTCTTTTGCATTGGTAATAACAATATTAAAAAAATTGAGCGTGAGGTATTCGAAAACCTCAGGCGGCTAGAAATAACAATATAAAATCGTAAGCGTTAGCGTTTCCCAAAGCATTTCCGTTAGGCGATTGGCCCCCTGGATTGCTTTGGAAAACGCTATCGCTTACGATTTCATTTTGTTATTTCTAGCCGCCTGAGGTTTTCAAATGCCTCGCGCTCTTTTTTTTTCTTTTGCATTGGTAATAACAATGTTAAAGAAAATAAATGAGCGTGAGGTATTTGAAAACCTTCGGCGGTTAGAAATAACAAAATGAAATCGTAAGCGATAGCGTTTTCCATAGCAATCTGGTTAGGCGATTGGCCCACTGGTTAGAACTTGCCAAAAGTGATCCTGCAACTTTATCGACTCATAGTAAAATTAATTTATGCGAAGATCACTTTGATGTAAATACTCATTGAATAATATTTTAAGTCTCTTCATTTATTATCAGTTTTAATAATACAAGTTTTAAAGTTATGTATGAATGACATTTAGTTGTTTACTAAAAGAGACGTCACAATCATGGCGGATGTGGCGAACAGCGTTTTTAGTGTTTAAAAAGTATAGACAAAAAATATTTTTCTATATTAAATTTCTACAGCAATCTTCTGCTTTTATGAAGTGAAATCGATATATTTAGATTCCTTAGACCAAATGCTTTAAGAAATTAACATTTATTTAATACAATTCGACATGAGTCAACTAGCCTATTTGTGGGAGTGATTTCGTGAAATGGGACGGAAGTGTGTAACAGGAAGACGCGAAAGCGCGCGCTATTTGATTTGATTTTAGAACATAATGTTCAAATGGCTTTCTTTTGTAATAGGTTTTAGGTTTTTATTCTTTTTTTACTAATATAAGGTTTCAAATGTTACACATCATACGTGACTACTGTAAGGCTCGCTCGTTTTTTTATCTACACTCATGTCTTTGTGAATTCTTTGCCCGCGTACGTGTTCCCTCCTTCCTACAATGTGTAGGGTCCTTTAAAAGAGGCGTGGAGAAGCATTTTTGCAGGCCGGCAAGGTGAAGATGGTTGGTGTGGCAGTTTATAACTGCTGTACCAGCTATCTTCGCGTTTGGGCTTTATTACCATTGAACATCAGGTGGGGTAGAGTCATTTGCCTATCTGGCTATATAAAAAAAAATATCGAAATATTTGAATTGCGAAATTAAATATGGTTTCATAAATCGTAAACGCATATACATAAAATTAAACTGTAGGTGTATCGTCCAGTAATATTTTAATAATTACAGTTTTTTTTATTTATTTAATTAGGCTACGATATAAGGTATAATTAAAAAAAGGAGGGCACGCAGTCGAAATGTATAATTAATTTCTCGAGCTTCCCATATAATGTTCGAAGGATCGTATTTTGTTTTCGGATTTTCAGAAAAGTTTTGCATACCACTTTTTTGTTACTTTGTTAATTTTAAATTGTTCCTATGAGTGAAGATAAAGTAGTTTATTACAAAAATACCTACGATCATACATGAATTATCCTGATTCGATTGTGTTATATGTAAAATAAGACACACACCCTGACAATATTAAAACCCCAAATACAACCGTGGCGTGGCTGAAAATATTTTTAATGAATTTGGCGTATTTTGGTACACATAAATGCATGATAATACTTGAAATATAATATTAGGCAGAGTTGGATGGAGAAAATTATGGATCCTGTAACCACAAATAAACCTAAATGAAAATTAACCAATTAACTTGAAGGAACTCTAGAAAAAGGCAGAACAAAATGATCCATTGTCTCACAAGTGTTTGACTGAAAGTTTAGGTAGAACAGTTTTTATTTTAGCTTTTCTTATATGAAAATTATTTTAATATGGGATCTGAGCTGTGTGTGTAAAAGAGACAGAAAGGGTAATTAATAGAAAGAGAGAGAAAAGGTTACGACTGAAAATGGCGGCGTTACTGACGTCGGCAGAACTACCACTAACTACTAACGGAAGTAGAAGGGACGGGGAAGGAGGGGGAATGAGCTGTATGTGTGTGTGAGAGAGACAGAAAGAGCAATAGAAAGAGACAGATATACCTGGTGTTATTCTCCCGGTTCCCGCTGAATATGGCGGAGTTACTGAAGTCGGCAGAACTACTACCCCCGGTAGAAGGGACGTGGATATGAGCTGTATGTGTGTGTGAAAGAGACAGATATACCTGGTGTTATTCTCCTGGTTCCGGCTGAATATGGCGGCGTTACTGAAGTCGGCAGAACTACCATCCCCGGTAGAAGGGACATGGATATGAGCTGCGTGTGAGAGAGACAGAGAGAGCAATAGAAAGAGACAGATATACCTGGTGTTATTCTCCTGGTTCCGGCTGAATATGGCGGCGTTACTGAAGTCGGCAGAACTACTATCCCCGGTAGAAGGGACATGGATATGAGCTGAGTGTGAGAGAGACAGAGAGAGCAATAGAAAGAGACAGATATACCTGGTGTTATTCTCCTGGTTCCGGCTGAATATGGCGGCGTTACTGAAGTCGGCAGAACTACCATCCGCGGTAGAAGGGACGTGGATTTGGGCGCGTTCCCCGTCGTATTTCCATTCGCAAGTGAAATCTGAACCTTCGAACCTACACAATAAGGTTCGTTTTAATATTGTTATTTATCTATGAGACATTGTGTTCATGATTGTTTGAAAACATCAATGGTTAAAAAGTGACTTTCTCGCGTCTCCTCTTTACCACTCTGGCAATAAATTTGAATCTAGGTAATAAAGCACCATCATCATCATCATTAGCCTATTAATATCCCCACTGCTGGGGCACAGGTCTTCCCTATGGAGGGAATAGGGAGATTGGGCCATGACTTACCCACCACGCGGGCCCAGTGCGGATTGGTGGATGCTAACGTCTTCAGACGCAGCCGGGACCGACGGCTTAATGTGCCATCCGAAGCACGGACTCGAGATAGAAGATTTTTGGTCACCCATCCAATGAACAACCACTGCGAAAGTTGCTTAACTTTAACGGTCGCAGCCGAACGCGCTAACCACCTGCGCCATCGAGCTCCTTATAATAATAAAACATATTATTGCTTATTATCTCCTACCTTACTTCTAAGAAGATGGAAACAAAAAGGGCTAAAAGTGAATTTAAATCGAGTTTTTAATACTCTTCCATGTTTATGAGACGATACAAAGATGGAATTATTATGAATATTTTACTTAAAATAAGTATTAAGCACTATAATAGGTTTAAAACAAGCATTTTGTAGAATATACTTCGTCCGCCATCTACCACAACTTAAAGTAGTATTAAGAGAATATAACTAACATGGATGGGCGTCAAAGTAAACTATAATAAATATTTCCAACACTTACACCAATTAGCCCAGCCCCAAAGTAAGCACTGTAGGGCTTGTGTTATGGGATACTAGGTAAATATTTATATAGTAATACATATTAAACATCCATGACTGGAGTATAAATGCTCGCATTCATCACACAAACATCTGCCCCACCGGAATTCGAACCTAGGGCCTCTCGAGTTGGCGACGGAGGTCGTCAGAAACTATGTACAAAATGTTTGTTTTGAAACTTCATCTTTACGAGTATGTAGTCTTAAAGTCATGCCCGAAAAAACAACAAGCTGGAAAATTAATTAAAGATATGTGTCATTTTTGATCTGTAACATCTTTCCTCTCACTTTCGTGCAATTTGTGGGAGTGATTACGTGAAGTGGGACTGAAGTGTGTAACGGGAAGTTTGGGAAGCGCGCGCAATTTGATTTGATTTTAAAACATAATGTTCGAATGGCTGATTCCTTTTGTAGTAGGTTTAATTTCTTTTTTACTTATATAAGGTGAGGTTTCAAATGTTACACATTGTAGGGCTAGCTCGTTTTAAGCATGTAACTTCTCGACGTTTAAATCTAAAGAAAATATTGCTAGAAAAAATTCCACGCCGACCAGGCAGCAGAGCAGACGGGAATCGAACCCGCACCCTTCGTTATACGGGCGAATGCACTGACCATTATGCTACCGCGGCCCTGATGGCCGTATCGAATTCTTTTTAGCCTTTCTTATGCTGCAAGGCAGGCCATCTCCTCGCATAGTAGGTAACCCACAATATCAAATGAATACCTTTACAAGTATTAAACATTTGAGAGAAGAAATAGCAATTATAAGTATAATTTTTATTTAAAGCATGTAACTGCTCCATGTTTAAATCTGGAAGAGTGGCATTGTTTCTAGAATATTTTCTTTAGATTGCATCATCATCATCATCAGCCTCTTTATGTCCCCACTACTGGGGCACAGGCCTTCCCTATGGATGGAATAGGGAGATTGGGCCATGACCCACCACGCGGGCCCAGTGTGGATTGGTGGATGCTAACGACTGCAGATGCAGCCGGGACCAACGGCTTAACGTGCCTTCCGAAGCACGGAGGAACTCAAGATAGAAAATTTTTGGTCACCCATCCAATGACCGACCACTGCGAAAGTTGCTTAACTTCAACGATCGCAGCCCAACGCGCTAACCACCTGCGCCATCGAGCTCCTCCATTTTCTTTAGATTTAATCACACTAATATTATAAAGGCGAAAGTTTGTGAGTATGTTAATGTGTATGTTTGTTACTTCTTCACGTCTAAACGGCTGGAGCGATTTTAATAAAATTTGGTATAGAGTAAGCCGACACCCCCGGATTAACACAGGCTACGTTTTAATGATTTTTTACTTTATTGTGTTATTTACCTGTCGAATAGTTCCTGGACGGCTCTCGCGGGATGTGCCAGCATAGGTTTAAGCGGCACTCCCGGAGTTAAAGCACAATGTTTGGGTAAATCTTTGACGCCATATTGCAGCAAGGCCGGTATTACTGCGTCGTAGTTGGGGCACTCGCAGTAAGTCTTCTTTATCGTGAACGCGTTGGAATCTACGCGAGCCTACAAACGTATGCTTATTCAAATAGTTTATTTGACAAGTTTTAGAAAATAGTCTCGTGTTATTCACTAATGTTTATGGAGTCCATAAAAGGTGGATAATAAGTAATAATAAATATTTCCAATACTCACACCAATTAGCCTAGCCCCAAAGTAAGCTCTGTAAGACTTGTGTTATGGGATATTAGAGTAACGGATAGAATACATAAACTGTACATATATAATAAGTATATTTATATAGAAATACATATTTAACATCCATGACTGGAGTACAAATGCTCGTATTCATCACACAAACATCTGCCCCCACCGGGATTCGAACCCGGGACCTCTCGAGTCGGCGGCACCATGAAACCCGGCGTATAAACCACTCGACCACGGAGGTCGTCATAACGTCGTGGATATTTTCAATTTCGTTCTTAAAAGTTGAAAAAATATTTTTGAATCTTAATGAGAGAGAGAGAAAGAAAACCATTTTATTGACCAATAAAACACACGGAAACATATAATTAAAAACAGCTGAAATAATACATAAATACATTACTTTCCAATCATCACAAATCGCAGTTATAATACTGGTCAATCAGGACCCTGCCTCAGCATTATGCTGCCGTGACATGTAACTTAACGTGTCACGACAACGCCGGTATTCTGACAGGGCCTGTATGGTGCACGGTGTTTCGGTATAAAAATCTATATAAGAACACGAATAGATTTATAATTAGACTAGCGGCCCGCCCTCGCTTCGCTTCGGTGTAGAGCTGAAGTGTAGACTACAGTTTTTGTTCTCAGGCTTGTATTATACGCAGTGACATTCATCTATGATTCTTCTTATACCTGCATGCAAAGTCTCAGCACGATCGGTTTAAAATTGACAAAGTTTCATACAAACTATCATTCCCTATTTTATCCCCTTGGGGATAGAATTGATCAAAATTCTTTCTTAGCGGACGCCTACGTCATAACATCTACCTGCATGCCAAATTTCAGCCCGATCCGTCCAGTGGTTTGGGCTGTGCGTTGATAGATCACTATGTCAGTCAATCACCTTTGAGTTTTATATATATAGATAAATACAGACATATAGCTTTAGTGTTTAAAAATGAGCAGGAAAGTAAAAAAATCCAAGCGAAGGGCGCAAGCTCGAGTCCTATCTGCTGCCAGGATAATGTGGCATATTTTCTAGTAAAACGTTTCTTTAGTTTCAAAGTTATAATCTGATGTAAAAACTTTCTTACCTTAAACTCCTCAGCCGGCAGTCCTTTCGAAGCATCCAATACTTTGACTCCTTCAGGGTCTGGAGGAGTGGTGGTGACGGCCAGCGCCAACGCTTGAAGGAGAGACTGTTCCGCCAGACCTATTCGCAACTTGCCTTCCAAAGACCTGACATACAAGATAATACCCTGTTTAATTATATTTTGGTTTAAGCTTTTCATCATCATCTTCATCAGCCTATTAATGTTCTAACTGCTGGAGCACGGGCCTTCCCTAAGGATGAAATAGGGAGATTGGGCCATGACCCACCACACGGGTTGGTACAGCAGTTCTACCTGCCACACCAGCCATCCTCACCCTGTCGGGCTGCATGTTGCTTCTTCACGCCTCTTTTAAAGGATCCCAGGTTGTAAGAGGGAGGGAACACGTGAGCGGGCAGAGCATTCCATTTACGGATAGTGCGACAAAGAAATGAGTCACCAAATTTCTTTGTAAGCGTTGCAATTGTAGCCACAGTTAGACGGTGATAACGTAGGCCAGCGCGCGTGGTCCTCTGAAGGAAAGGAGAAGGTGGAATAATAAGGTTTTTAAATCTAAATAATGAAATTAAGGAGGATTGATTGAGGAGCTCGATGGTGCAAGTGGTTAGCGCGTTCAGCTGCGATTGTTGAAGTTAAGCAACTTTCGCAGTGGTCGGTCATTGGATGGGTGACCAAAAATTTACTATCTGGAGCTCCTCCGTGCTTCGGAAGGCACGTTAAGCCGTTGGTCCCGGCTGTATCTGCAGTCGTTAGCACCCACCAATCCGCACTGGGCTCGCGTGGTGGGTCATGGCCCAATCTCCCTATACCATCCATAGGGAAGGCCTGTGCCCCAGCAGTGGGGACATTTATAAGCTGATGATGATGATGATGAATGAAATTAATAATGAATAAACTATTCTGTTTAAGTAGTTTTGAGTGTGAAATTATATAATATATAGTATGAATAATAAATAATTATATAGTATGAATTATGATGGATTGATAAGTAAGATCAAAGTTTTATCATGAATGCTTGTTTTTAAACAATGATTGCTTTCGATTAATTAAAGGTAAATAGTATAACTTTTCCGCCGTATTAATAAACGCAGAATAAGCTTGGATTAGTTAATCCATATTTTGTCTCTGTTCATTGGATGACAAATGACATTTGAGTGACATGAACAAATCACGACTTAACTAGGCTTAGCTTATTCCTTCATTAATAAGGGGGTTTAAGTCTTTTTGTCGGATACTCAGAACTGTCCTAACGCAGGCTATCGATTTTAGTATGTTTTTTGTAATTTATCGTAAATTCGATTTACAATGGTAATTATTATTAGCGGTTATTGAGATAGTTACCTGACCAAGTATTTAGCTTCACAGTTCCTGCAAGCTGTGAAGAGTGACTGGATCTTTGCAATCTTCTTGTTCACAGACGCGTGCCCTGAAAATGTTGTGATAAAGTTTTAGGCTGTAAATAAAATGGAACTCACTTACCCGGTGTACTATTCCCAAAATTAGTAACAAAATGCAAAAAAATATATAAAAGGTTAAAGTCGATTTACAAATCCTTAACTTTTAATACTTGTAAAAGTATTCATTTGACATTGTGGGTTACCTATAATGCGAAGAGATGGCGCTGCCTTGCAGCTTAAGAATGGCTAGAAGAATTTCGACGCGGTCCGTTAGGGCTGCGGTAGCATAACTGGTCAGTGCATTCGCCCGGATAGCGAAGGGTGCGGGTTCGAGTCCCGTCTGCTGCCTGGTCCGCGTGGAATTTTTTCTAGTTATAATTTCTTTAGATTTAAACATCAAGCAGTTACATGCTTTAAAAATAATAAAAAAATTATAAATAATATTTTCTTTAAACATCCAGCAGTTACATGCTTCAAAAATAAAAATTATAACTATAATTGCTATTTCTTCCGACATTGTGGGTTACCTACAATGCGAAGAGATGGCGCTGCCTTGCAGCTTAAGAAAGGCTAGAAAGGCTAGAAAGGCTAGAAAGAAGGCCATCAAGGCCGCTGTAGCATAATTGGTCAGTGCATTCGCCGGGATAGCGAAGGGTACGGGTTCGAGTCCCGTCTGCTGCCTGGTCCGGGTGGAATTTTTTCTAGTAATATTTTCTTTAGATTTATACATCGAGCAGTTACATGCTAAAAAATTTGAATTAATTCATTACTTTTTATTGACACCGACTACCCGCTGGTAATGAGACCGCGTCCTGAATATCTGCTGTTAGTGGGACCGCGTCCTAGACCTGTAGGTACTCAACTACTCTTGCTATCTTCTTCGGAAATTCAGAACACTCGCCTAGTCCGCTGGCAGTGAGGCCACTTCTCAAGTATCTACTCACCGGTCTTTCTCGCTATCTCCTTGAGAGCTTGGAACACTGGCCTTCAGAGGCGGTTGCTTGAACACTAACCGCTTATAGTGAGATCGCGTCCCAGTCTTATACACACCAATCATTCTGGTTATCTCCTTAAGAACTAGAAACACTCGTCTAGCTTTTAGAGGCGGTTGTTTGAACACTACCCGCTGGTAATGAGGCCACTTATCTAGTATCTACTCACCAGTTATTCTCGCGATCTCCTACAGCGCTATGAACACTCATCTGGCCTTGAGGGCTTCAGTTAGGTCTCAAGCTACCTATGGTCCGCTGGTAGTGAGGACCCTTCCGTAGTGTCTAGAGTGTAGGGACGTCAAACGCCAAGACCTTCCACCGAGCTGAGCGACGTTAGCTCGGAGAGTGAGTAGGGACACGGAAAAAGTAGCGATACTTTGTGGTATCGAGTACTTTTCCTTTCGATACCGATACTTTGTATTCGATACTTTTACTTAATGAGTACTTTTTGGCAAGTATTTACCTTTAAATTTTGAATAAGCGCCTCATATTGATGGCAACACCATCTTGTTAAATCATAGCAAACCTTCTAAAACGTTCCATTGCGTTGTAATAAAGTCAGTAACTGATATTCAAATTCATTCCAATCTGTGACTGTGTTTATTTTGCGCTTTGTTTTATTTCATATTTATTTATTTAGCGATCATATTGTTTGGAACTGTGATTGATTCGCCGTTTATTGTGCTTGCCGCTTGACTGTATTTGATTTATTCAAGAAGACGGACTACTTCTATAATTATAATCTTGAGTGAAGCATGCCAATGGCCGCCGTTAACTGCGTGTCAGGTTCAAGTTAACATAGGTGGCTATATTGTTTTTTAATGTTTAAAATTCAAGAAAAGTAGGTAAGTTTCATTTCTAACAAATCTGAATAGTTTCATACTTTTATATTGTTTAAGATTTCGATCTTTTTAATTAACGTTAATTTTTAAGAGTAGCTATATAATATAGCAATTTGTGAATTTACATGTCCTTTTTTTTGTTTTTCATTGTATGTACTATAATAAAATTTGATTTTTTCTTTCAATTTGAACTCCGGGGGGGGGGGGGGGGGGGTTGCTCATCAGGCCACAGAGGATCCGTTCAGGGCCTATGAAATGTACTCGATACTCTTTTCCGATACTACTCATGAGTACATACAGTATCGATACTTTCTATTCGATATCGTGTCCCTAAGAGTGAGCCCAACCGATTTTAGTTGGGCATCGTATATAATATGAAGCCCTACAATTTCTCTAGCGCGGTGTAGGCTTTCCATACAATCAAGTGCGCCGCCAGAAGCGCCCTCTCTTGACAAGGCGAGTTATTCCATCCTACATAAGTTATATGCTAGGCATGTAGATGTCGCCACCACACCGAGTATCCGCTGGTTACGAGACCGCATCCCGAATACCCGCTGGTGGTGAGGCCGCGTCTTAGAGCTGTAGGTACTCACCGGTCATTCTCGATATTTCCTTCAGCACAAAGAACACGTCTTTTTTTTCTTTTTTTTACAGCCAGGTAGGCAAATTACTCTACCCCACCTGATGTTAAGTGGTGATAGAGTCCAAACGCGAAGATAGCTGGTACAGCAGTTATAAACTGCCACACCAAACTTCCTCATCTTGCCGGCCTGCAAAAATCCTTCTTCACGACATTCTTAAAGGTCTCCAGGTTGTAGAAAGGAGGGAATACGTGCGTGGGCAAAGAATTCCACTTGCGAATTATACGACAAAGAAATGAGTCACCAAATTTCTTTGATCGTGTAGGAATAGTGGCCACAGTAAGTCGGTGGCAACGCAAGCCAGCGCGCGTGGTCCTCCGAAGAAAAGGTGATGGAGGGATAAGGAAGAATAACTCTTCGGAACACTCGCCGTGGTATAGTCGGTAGAATACGCTTAATGATGCCACATCGCGACGTAATTGTAGAGACTCGAGTTTGTCAGTTACCTCTTCATCGCCAATGATGCTAGCGGCGTGTCGCTGCAACCTAAGACATCGAGTAAGTACTTAGCGGAGCCATCCCTGAGGTGCGAGCAATATTCCACGCAGGTTTAGTGTCAGTCTAGTCTTCAAGTGGCGGTTGTTCGAACACTATCCGCTGTGATGAGACCACTTATTTAGTATCTACTCACCAGTCATCCTCGCGATCTCCTTGAGAGCCAGGAACACTCGCCTGGCCTTAAGAGGCGGTTGCTTGAACATGGTCCGCTGCGTGGCCCTGGCGTGGGCCGCGGCGGCCCCCAGATCGCCGGCCTTGCTGGCGGCGGCCTTCAGCTGCTGCACCGTGCGCCCCGTGCATTGACCCACGGCTTTCATCAGGTAGGTCTCCGCGATGCCTACGGACCGTCGGGTGAGTTGGTGGTTTGTATATTTGTTTCTTAGATTTTCACGCACATCACTCGTTAAATAAAACAAGTTTCAAAAGGGTTATATGCACTGTTTTTCGGCGCATTCATGAAAGGTCAATAAATAAATAAAATCAGTGCATCTGACCCGTTGAAACTTGTTAGTTTATTTAGTGGTTTGTGTCAACCGCAAGTTTAAGTTAAAGGAAATTCAGTGGAGCGCTGTTTTAGTGTCGCCGCACACGAGCCACGCGCCACAGCCACGAACGCCGCCACGAGAAGCTAGAAGCGGCTACTAAAGTGGCCGAAGCGCGCGACAGCGGCCGACTAAGGTAAGGGAGAGAGGGGTGGGGAATAGCGCGAGTGACGTGTGGCGGCGTTCTGTATCGGCGCATTAAGTGGCCGGTGCGGGCCACAAGAAGCGAGCAACGACGATTTGTAGCGTGTGGCGGCCACCGGCGTACCGTGTGTGACGAGTCCATATAAAATGTATGAAAACTGAAAGAAACATGCCGGTGGCGGCGTTTTGTGGTTGTGGTCGGTGGCCCGTGTGCGACGACACTTAGTGATATAGTGAGCGCAAGCCAGTGTATGAGCACTTCACGTTATTTACTAATGTTTGTGGAGTCCATAAAAAGGGATAGGGGAGGGGAGATATTTTTAATTATGTTGTGTAATTTAATACAAAAAGAATCTAAATTAAAAATATATTTTCAAGTTGCCGCGAAAACGTTTCCCTAGAACATTATGGCGTCTCACTAGTGTGTGACGTCACACGACTGTCATTAAAAAGTCAACCGATACAATGTAATGTCACTTTGGCCGGAAGTTTACTAGCGTGTGACGTCATTTTCGTCTTGGCCAATCCCAAGCGAAAACAAACAAAAAATTCCTATTCCTATTGAATCATTTTATAGGAAAGGGGCCGTTCAAGTATTACGTAAGCAGATTTATTACAATTATTTACACCCTCCTCCCCCTTGTCAGCAAAAGTAAGCAAAGCTCTTACCCCTCCCCCCCATCCTTACTGTATTCTGTATGTATTCTGTTTTTTTTATTGATTCATGAGCTTTCATGAGCAGCAGTACTTAAAAAGGCTTAATCGATGATGCTGATCCCCCCCCCCCCCCATCTCATCAAAAATAAGCAAAGCAAAGACCCCCCTGCCCCCCTATAGTGCTTACGTAATACTTGAACAGCCCCAAAGTTATTAATTATTTTTCTTTAAGAATAATAAGATCGCTGTTTAAAATCCTATTAAATACAGATGCCATTAATTGGTACATTTTTTTCTTTTTCCTAATAACCTAGCTCCATAATAAGCACTGCATGGCTGGGTGTTATGGGATACTATAGTACCGGATAGGAAACATATACTGATTCATATATTTTTTTACTTAGTAACACATATATAAACATAATACATGACTAGAGTACAAATGCGCGTATTCATCAAACAAGCAGCCCCCAACGGGAACCCGAGACCTCCGAGTAGGCGTACACTCGAGCTACGAAAACACTTAAAAACTTACCCAACTCCAAGCTATGGTAAGCGGGCGCGAGCTGATTCAAGCACATATAGACACTAGGTAGCAGATCCTCCGGGGTCAGCACTATGACCGACCGGAAGTAGTTGCTGAGGATGTCGATCATCTTCAGGCGGGCGGAAGTTGCCTCGATGACCTCCAGGGTCTTTGCCAATGCCAGGTAAGGCACCTCCTCGCCTTTAGACCAGCACGCGTCGTTGATCGGGTGGTATTTACTCTTGGACGGGTTGTACTCTGTGTCTGTGTAAGAAGAACTGGACTTTTGGTACTTGTCAGAGATGCAGAAATAGGATAGTGTAGGAAGGCCAAAGGGGAAGATCTTCCTCCGAGCTGGATGATGGTAGCTCGGGGGCCGCGGCCCAACTGATGTTGGTCGGGCATCGTATATAGGAAGAGTTAGCCTCCGAATTTCATTTGCGCGATGTAGGCTTCCATACTATTATGATCGCAGTGCAGGTAACGCCATCTCTTGAGGATGGTGAGTAATGATTTCCTTCATCCGTTATATATATGTGAGGCATATAGATGTCGCCGCCACAGTTATAATTAAAACCAAACGAGATAATTATGCAAATTTAATGGTTTTGTCTCAAAAAATGGCTGCTTATTAAATACAATTTCCCTACTGACATTTTGCATTATTTCAAACTTCCGCACTATGGAATAATGGATTCGTAAATCGTCGCCAATGAACTACTACAATGTTTAATTGAAGAAGGAAGGATGACACCATTAAAAAATATTATAAAAATAATTGTGCGATACCTTCATGATAAAATATTAGTACTGTTCACAAAACACACAAAGACTGAGTATTAAGGTTGAAGATAATTTATACACTTGATGGTGAGCGTTTACCATAGCGAGACCAAAAATATTACTCGCATCATAGCCTCATTGTAGGCTCCGCCAATCCCAAGCGTTTTGGGTCACGTGACAATACATAAGAAAACTATTATCTTTTTCTTTACTTTTTAGTAAAATTATGAATATTTTTTTCTAAAATAGTAAAAACCCCTGCCCATGTTCATTCTAAATACAGATGCTAACAATTGGCACTTTATTTTTAACCCTGTCAAATACCCTATTTACTGTGATTTTCTGTAAGATGGAGACTACTTCCCCAGACAGGCGCTCCTATTCTAGAGGGAACTTCGCTATGCCCTACCTCTTTTGATTTCTTTGGTACTTTATTGCCGCTGCAAACACTTTTTTTTATGTAGAATGGGTGGAAAGCACCAATGTGAACCAGAGGAGCTGAGCCGAGGAGCTCGGTAGCGCGAGTGGTAAGCGCGTTCGGCTGCGATCGTTGAAGTTAAGCAACTTTCGCAGTAGTCAGTCATTGGATGGATGACCAAAAATCTTCTATCTCGAGTTCCTCCGTGTCTGCAGTCGTTAGCACTCGCCCATCCGCACTGAGCCCGCGTGATGGGTCATGACCCGCACTCCCTATTCCACTATAGGGAAGGCCTGTGCCCTAGCAGTGGGGACATTAAAAGGCTGATGATGATGAACTTACCCATGACTTTTGGTTCGTTGTCATTATTCAAAGCATTTTTTGTATCGCCGTCTCCATTTTCCTTCACCGGCACAGGACTCACAGCTATCTCATTTACATTCTTCTCGATTTTAACCTTCGGTGAGAATACTTCTTCTTTGACAGTTACTTTACTCTTTGGCGATGAGCTTTTTTTCTTATTTTTGTTATCATCGGAAGCAGGTGATTTCTTCGTAGTCTTCGCTTTTTTCTCCTTTGGAGATTGCTTAGTTTTTGGTGATTGTCCACTTTTGTCCTCATTTTTATCTGGACTGGGAGACTCGGATTTGGGAATCTCCGTTTCACTGCCAGAACTTTCTATCCTCTGACGCTTCACCTTCTTTTTCTATAGAGAAAGTATTTAACTTTATAAAAAAACGGTATCGTGAAAAATGTTACCACAAGGCGCATCCGTCATCGGCACTTTCGATATGCTATTTGAAAAGTTTTCGAAAACCTTTATACGTTCCACGCGGACCAGGCAACAGACGGGACTCGAACCCGCAACCTCAGCTATCCGGGCGGATGCACTGACCGTTATGCTACCGCAGCCCTTATAGCTGTGTCGAATTCTTCCTAGTATTTCTTAGGCTGCAAGGCAGCGCCATCTCTTCGCATTGTAGGTAAACCACAATGTCACACGAATAACATTCGAAGTATTAAACATTTGAAAGAAGAAATATGTACTAAAATTTTCTTTACATTTTAGTAATAATAATATATCTTTATTTAGAGAAGGTCGACATTGCATAATAATAATAAAAAGTACAAAATAAAGGATGCCTGAACTGGGTTGCAGTATGAATTGTATCTGTATTTCTGGCTTCTATAATGTAAAAAATTACATTTTATGATTAATAAATTAACAAGTTAATTAAATCAGATCTTAAAGTAATCGTCCCATATATTAGTAAATGTAAATTATGGAGTCATGTTAGTTCATTTACAAATAAAAAGGAATTCTTCGGTCTGCTCGTATGTCAGGCTGTGCAAATAATTAAATATGTACTACATTTCTACAGTTAAAATAGTTTAATGTATTAATTTGAACATCCAACAGTTACGTGCTTAAAAAGTTAAACGTATATACGTTACTAGCTGTCCCAGCGAACTTCGTACCGCCATAAAAAATAGGGGTTGGTGGAAGCAGGGTAAAAATATAGGGTTGTATGTATTTTTGTATGATGTATTATAAAAAAATAAAAACAAAAAAAAAATGTCCAAAAAAAATATATTTTTAAGGGTGGAGCACCCTTAACATTTAGGGGGATGAAAAATAGATGTTGTCCAATTCTCAGACCTACTGAATATGGCTATAAAATTTCACGAAAACCGGTCGAGCCGTTTCGGAGTAGTTCAATTACGCACACCGAGAATTTTATATATTAGATTTATTAGTGACTTTATTAAAAGTGGATATTTATAATTCTGTCGCGGATATCAGTAATAAAGAAAGGAAAAAAAAATCAAATATGCCGCGGAAAAGATTCCCTAGCAACTATGGCATACAGGCAAGTGACGTCACGCCGCTCTCATTAAAATGTCAAACACTACAAAGTAATGTCACCTCGACAGAATTTTTACAAGCAGGTGACGTCATCTTCAGCTCCGCTACTAGGCGTTTTCGGGCACGTATACAACAGATCAAAAATGCTTTTTCTATTCCATGGGTTTTAGTAATATATAGGTGACGATTCTAGCATGATTCTCTAAACCTAAACTTAAATTTGACAGCAGTATATCCTTGTCATTCTCTATACAGAATGAAGAGGAGAGACTGACGTTAAATTTAGTTTTAAGTTTAGAGAATCACGCCAGAATATCAACAGTTTTGCGAAATCGCTCCCAATATTCATGTTTAAATAACATGCCCATATTTGGTACTTTATTTTGCATACTGTCAAATAGCCTATTAAATTAGAGCTTCCTCCCTCACTGAGTAAATTTCGGTACATATTCTTTACTGACACCTCTCTCTACCAAACTATTCGACTCGCCCGCCCAAAAGTTACGACACTATAACAAATGACAAAAACTGTAGCAAACGAAACGAAACAACACCGCACCGAAACTGAGCCGAAAGAAGTAGTTTAGGTAAAGCATCTCTACAGATTCGGTACAAAGACGAGACGAGCACGAGCTGATCCGATGAAGATAAGGCGCCTACAGCTACAATAAGCTAATTACCCTACTAATACAACGATATTAAATACCCTAGATTCACCACGGGTGCTCAAAATGTGTCCCAATCAAGAAGTGCTTGAACATCACTAAAGCACTGCTTGGTTCAGTCACGCGCGGATCGTTGAAAAGTCAAGATGCCGCAAAGCTCCATGAAAAATACGAAAACAATACTTTTAGTACGTTAAGTGTCGTTTTTTCGGCACGTAAATCACTTTGACCATATAATTCAGAAATCATATAAACAACTTGGCTTTTTATTACGGGTCTGTAAACCATTTAAGAAAGAACTAACCTATAAAACACTTTATTTTAGTATGGTTCGTTCAATCCTGGATTTTGGCTCTGTTATTTGGAACCCTAATTATGAATGTCATAGTAAACGGATAGAAAAGATTCAAAAATATTTTGTAAAAACGCTTGCATACCGAACTGGATCAAACTATACCTCATATGAGGACTGCATTAAAAAATATAACATTCTCCCGCTTAGGTATCGTCGACAGCAGTTCGACCAAATGTTTTTGTATAAATTATTAAATAACTTTATTGATTCCCCTAACTTGCTTCAAAAAATTAAATTTCAAATTCCCACAAAAAGTGTTCGTCGCACCAACCCGTTATTTGCCATTCCCAGATCTAACAAAAATTATACAGCAAACGCATATTTACAACGAAGTTTGACCGCATATAATACATCATTTGCAAATATTGACCATTTCTCAAATAGTGTAAACCAATTTAAGCAAAAGGTATTTAATTGTTTGTTCTCTATAATTTAGGTATATTTTACTTACTGCGAACTATAGCTATTGTGAATATTCAAAAGCAATGTCAATTTAGAATTTTGTTTTGTTTTTCATAACATTATATAATCTTAGCATTTCGTGTTGTGTTATATTGAAGAACCAACTGTCTATTAATTAGCACTTAAATCCTTAAGTTTTTTTGTTCCTCTTAAGTATATTTAGACTTATGTGTTGGCACTCAAGGTCTATAACTTTAGCTATAGTAAAGAAAAATTGTATCGATGTACATGATTGTTTGTTGTCCAGAATAAAAAAAAAAAGTTAAAAAAAAATGTATTTAATCAATGTTTGTTAATTTAACGCATTTGCAGCAAATATTGTTCTAATCTACTATATAAAAATAAGTCGGGTTTTCCTTCCTGACGCTATAACTCCAGAACGCACGGACCGATTTCCACGGTTTTGCATTCGTTGGAAAGGTCTCGGGCTCCGTGAGGTTTATAGCAAAGAAAATTCAGGAAAAATAAAAAAAAAAACTTCTTTTAATCACCAAACGAAATGTTACATAAAACGAAGCCATCTGGTGGTGAAACGGAGTTCGCCGGGTTTGCTAGTACTTACTATAAACTGATTTAATAGAGACAAAGAAATAAGGGCTATATTCTTTCGCATATAGCTATAAGTCGTAACATTTTACGAGCTTGCATTTCGAACTGTCGTATCTCTTTGACGCATGTGTTTTAATTAACACCTTACGCACTATGCATTAAAAGTGACTTTTAATGTTTAAATAATGCCTTATATTATTTTGACTACGCGATCATCTTACGGAGTTCCGTGGATCATTCAATGTACCTTTTGGACAGGTTTCGGCCACGATTTTGTTCGTGTTGGTGTATCTATTTTAATATCGTTGTACTAATATTATTAATGTGAAAGTTTGTATGATTGTGTGTTTGTATGTTTGTTATATACTCACGTAATATACTGAAAGTATTTGAACGACATTTGGTACGCATATAGTTTATGACCTGGATTGAGACATAGGATACTTTTCCCGAAAAGAATGTTAGGTTCCTGTGGGATACTCAAAAGAATTTAAAGTTAACGCGGACAACGTCGCGGGCCGCCGCTAGTATTACAATAAAGCTACAATGTCCAGAAGGTTAAGCATTACTAGATACAAATTAGGATACAAAACTGACCTTATCAGATTCAGGAGCAGACTTTACAGGTGATTTAGACGAGTCACTGTCGCTGCTGTTTAATCTCTGCCGCTTCGATGACCTCTGTATAATTAATCTATTTTTATTAAAACTAGTAAGTATGACACTTTTTTTAATGTAAAGAAAACGCTTGACATTTGCAACTTTCAAAATCATTGATTCTTTGTGGTATATAGGTAATCTGAAGAAAATCTTACCAGTAAAAAATTGCACTCAGTCCTGGCATCACACAGGCGTTGAACCCGCACCTTCCACTATCAGAAGGTGCCAGTTGGAATCCCGACGAGTAGTAACATTTTCTTTAGATTTATTAATCTAGCCGTTGAATGCTTCAAAATAAAATATTTCGGGCGTTTGCTGCGTGAAGCCGCCTCGATCTATAATTTTGACAAGAGGCTGCCGCGCACACCTCAGCCGAGCCAGTGTCGAGAGACTGCGCGTGCATAACCTATCCAAAGAATCGAGCAAGTACAAGGGGAAGGTGGAATAAGAGAGAATAACCCCTCAGAACACTCGCCGTGGTACAGACGATAGAACGCGCGTAATGACACCACGTCACGGGGTAATTGAAGAGGCTCGAGGTGATCGCCTATGATGCGGATCGTGCGCCGCTGTAACCTATCCAAAGCATCGAGCAAGTACTTGACGGAGCTCCTTAGATTCCGTGGTAGAGGCACGTCTTAGAGTACCCCGACGACGAAATCACCCGCACCAACGCGCCTCCTACTCCTCCCACACAGTCCTCAATCAGTAACACTACACAGCTAGCATACTTGCACACTAGCTTAGCATTAGGCAGACACCGCACTCGTAAGATAAGAGTGCGAAGACCCGGTCTACACGACACGCTATACCAGGTACAGGTACGTACCTGGGCGTTTTTCCCCGCCCCCGCCCGAGCCGTGCTCCGAGTCTCAGAGACAATCTCTAGATGCGCCGACCCCTCAGGTTCGAGTGGTCTAGAGGCTCCAGACGGAGAGGAGAGATATGCCATCCGCCTGGAACACCTCTAGAGGCACTCGCCAATTCTCGACTTGAGGTACCCTTAGGTTCTCGCCGTTCTCAAACCCGGTGACGCTGTAGAGGTCATCTGCGACCAAAAGCATACACTCAAAAAAATTCGCCCGAGCCACTATCGAGACTGCGCGTGCCTAACCTATCCAAGGCATCGAGCAAGTACTTGGCGGAGCCAATCCAGAGAGTCTTATACAACAAGCACAGTTGCTCGGGCGTGAAAAAACGCCGCACCTTGTTCAGGACTCCGAGTTTGTATGAGGCCGTTTTAACCACGCGTTCGATGTGATTCTTTGGATTTAAGTCACAGGTTTTTTCCGTGAAAGCGCAGACCTGGGTTTTCTTAGCACTGAACTCAACCAAGTTCTTGGTACCCCATTCGAAAATGCTGTCCAAAGCCTGATTGAGTTCAATGACAAGATTCTCCCGTTTCTCCTTGGTTTCCGCCTGTCCAGCCGCTGCTTGTTCGAAATATCCCGCATGTAGGTAATCCCATGCCAAACTGAACTTCCAGACACTGCTTTTTCTGAATATTGCTTATAAAAACTCCATAACGTGGCACCACAAATCGTCCCAAGTTATGTGGTCCCATCAATGTAGTTATATCAGGTATCTACTGTATAAGTTAATAAAACAGGGAGAAAAAAACAGTCCTTGCCAGTTCTTCTCAGTACAAGGTCTCCCGCCGTAGATTTACGAACCGATGGCGTAGCTTCTAGACATTCATAAGTGCTTGTAACAGCCTAATCTAAATAAATGAATTTTGATTATGATTAAGCTATTACGTAATCGGTAATTACCTTACATTTAAACAAAACGGGATGTAACGGCACACACGGCTCAAAAGTGATCTGCTTAAATTGTGGTGCATGACCACAATTTGCTTTAGTCACAATTGGACATCCAAACACGCTACATCTGCACTCAATATAACAATATTGAGTATATTCTATGATATTAAGATAAAGCCATGCCTTTGATAATTTTATAAATAACACAAATGGTTCAATATCAAATAACAAATACCTTGGCAACATTTGTAAAACTGTAATTTTTTTCTCAAAAATCAAGGTTTGTTGTCAACGTTATTTACGTTATCAGACACGTCGTTTCGCTTGCGAAGTGTTGCAGCGTACAGTCTCACTCGCTTGATTGAATGTTTATTTATAGACGTGTGCATGTGTACTCTCACACACGCACACGCTCTGCTTATGTATTTGAGTCAGAGTATATTTTATTTGATGCTAGTATGAGCGTACCCAGTCTTTTTTTCTTTTTTTTTTAAAAGGTACTTACCTTATCTTTTCCATTGCTCACTGTTATTTTTTCTTCTTCAATAACATTCTCTTGACTCTGTAAGTTAAAACAATACAGCATTAATAATAAAGTTGATTCTGTTTCTCGTCCATTAAAAATCATTCCATACATAATCTAAGTATCAAACTCAGTTAACAAGCAGTAAGTGTATGAGCTTTTTTGACAACTGGTTCATGCAATGACAGCTCTCCTGCCTTATTTACCATGGCCTTAGGTTTGTATCTATTCATTCATGTGATGAGTATGGTTAACCAACCGTAAAGTACCAAGTATACTCTAAAACAGAGTATTGTAACTCTACTTTTTAAAGTTGTACCTACATACTTTATAATCTGTAATGTTAACCAGACAACTAAAAAATATATTTTTACAGAATGTTTATATTATAAATATTAGTCTTACATACCAAATTTTACTTCCCCCTAATTGATTGGTTTTCTGCGTATGAAGGTAGTTAAAAAGATTTTGAGTTTTGTTTTAGATTACATGTAAGTTAACCGTAAACCAAACTCAAAATCTGTTTAATGGTTAAAATAAATGTACTTAGTTACTCTATTTTTAAATGTTGGTACTCTTTATCTCCTCCTTTTCTCCGATATCATTTAAACTCCAATCCTTTTGAAAAAAGTTGGCTTCCTTAGTGGTTTATATAATTTTACATGTATTCTATAAATTACTAAGTTTCCATAGTACAAGTTTTGCTTTATTAAGGACTCAATGATTGTTTCGAGTTGTTCTGAATTGATTTATATGTCTGTTTTGATTTATCATTGATGCACTATCAATTCAACTTGAAGATAAACAACTTTGGATTGATATACAGGTTTTTGATAGTTTTACACTCTGATAATATATGTAGTATGTATTTATGTAGTATATATATATATTATCTTGTTTCCATAGATATAAAAATATAATGAGTAATTTGATGAATTCTTTTTGCACTACCTTAAGATTTTTGCTAAAATTCTCCGGTTGACTGATAGAGAATGCCTAATGGCATTAAGTCCACCACTTGTACATACTTTTGTGCAATAAAGTATAAATAAATAAAAAAAAATATAACATTATTCAATCTGTAATAACCTTATCTTTTCCATTGGTTGCTGCCGATTTTTTCTCCTCATTGCTGTTCTTCGGACTCTGAAAGTAAAACCAAAATATCATTTATAATTTTTAATACAGCTAGGAGGTTAACTCTATAAAATTATAATGATATTTTTTTTTCGTTACATAATCTACTTATTAGATGATAACAGTTTATTAAGGATCAGAACATTGTTTCAATATTGCAATATATCTATAAAAATAGTTTTTAAACTTACTTTCTCAACTACTTCTTCTTTGATATCAATTGACTTTTTTGGAGTTTTCGTGAAAAATGAAGTAATTGTCTTCTGAGACATATTTTTAGAGTAAGTAAATAATAATTTGCTAAATAAAATCTCATCGGATTTTCTTCTAAGAGCAACACAACCTACATGTGATTGTGTACTGAATCTACAATTCGAAAGCAATTTAATAAAAAATCGCATTACTTATATGAATCATTATTATTGATATCTTATAACAGTTGTTATTTTTCTACAATAAAATATTATCTTGTTTTCTTCCTTTCATCATTAAATTCACAAACTCAATAACAATACTTTTTGGCGGGACGGGACCGGATTGAAAATTTGAGACTAAAATAAATATGTCAATGTCAAATTGTTTTTTAACCTTCTCCCTTTTTAAGGAATGCAAAGGAAACAATGCCCATACAGCATAGTCTTCAGTTTTCTATGTTCTTTTTGTAAATTAGATTGTGGGTAAGACGCATTTTAATGTATTTTCTAGTGTTTGGCCCCATATATATCGAGTCAGCTTTCTCGATAAACTTCTATTAGGTAGTCAACACTACAATTGACCAGAATTGCGTATATTTTAAAGATTTCACTAATTCTTCAGTTATGCAGACGATTGAACACAAAATCTCACCAATTTTATTGCACAATATCCACTATGAACGAATTAAAGAATAATTAAATTAGAACACCAACCGCAATCGATGAAATCCCGCCATAAACTTTTTTTAATGTATTCAGGACCATGGATACAAGTTTTTCAGTCGTATAAATAATACAAAACCACATAGCAAACAATGAAGTTAAAAAAGAATTACAAATAAAGAACCAATTTAAAAATATCTTTTTTTTTAATTTATAATCATAAAATTAAACATAAAAATTATAACTTTTAATATTTATCATTTTAAAATACCAGAAACCTCACAGGACTAGATTGCTTATATTAAGCACAACAATTAAGTTTTAACATAACTCAATACTTTGATCAATTTCTTAGTTTTTGATATACTGTCGTGACATTTATACGTCTATGCTTCCTTTATAATCAAAAGGGCAACGCTCGCGCTTTACAGAAATTAATATTAATATTGTATTTCTTTACCAGACACTTTACTTAGATAGTTAATTGCTCACGTAGCTTGTATGCACTAGGTACACTGAATCCGCAATCATAAACTACATTAAACAATTGAAAACAAACACTTAGGTATATCTTTCAAAATATGTAAAAACGATTTTCGTAATCATTCTTTAAAGTTTTCTAAAGTTACTTACACCGAGTTTAATGTCCAATAGTGGTACCCATTATTTTGTTTTCGTTTTAAAAATAATGCAGGCTACGATGACGAAAATTTTTTGCACTTAAGGAAGTGTGACTCACGCGCAAAGCGCCGATCGACTGGCGGCCGTAAAAAAATAGGTCAATTAAGTTCAAACGCTAGCGCCGCGTCCTGCCCCGCCTGCGCGCCCTCTTCCTTGACGCACGATTCAACGTGTCTGTATAGTTAATAACATTCGGGCGGTAAATTAACTTAATATTTATTCTTGTATGAAAATCTACTGTAACGAATTTTCAAACCTCGTAGAACAAATGTTGTTGTGTATAATATAAGCTATCTTGTACTGAGAGGTCACCGGTTTTTTAATACTAACCCTGTATATACAAAAGTATGACAAATTGGAAAAAGGAAGTTTAAGAACTTATTTCTATTAGATTAATTAAAATATTGAAAATTATCTGCTAAATCTATAGTATTTTCTATAAAATTAAATATTGGTAAATAAAAATCTGCGAAGCTAGGCAATTCCTGAACGCAGCGAGTTATGCATATTTTGTTCGGTTCATAAAATGTCACTCACTTCGCTAATCAACAGTAGCCGTTGTATAAGCCGCGCCAATAAAGAAACCAATGTAAAATTGTGGCGGCGATCATGCGCTCTCACTCTTAACTATTGCTGTCTTTAGCCGTACTGCATGCAAAAAAATATCAGTTCGGACTTTGTTCTCGCACTGTCTCGACGCGCTCTGTTTTCTTTTCTTATTTGGTGACCCTACCATCTGTCAGTGCAGGTACATAGACGCCATTTTCGAATCGTTTCTTTATTGGCGCGGCTTATGGTATGCTTTCCAATTACAGAGCATAATGCGACTCAGTACCGCACAATGCCCAATTATGCTGATGCTTAATTGGAACGTGAATTAGTTTTCAAATGCACCAGCAGAGTGCGCTAAGTTAAGTGTTGAAAAAAAAAGTCAATGTTTGTACCTTTATCCATACATATATTTATTTTTTAACAGTTTGAATGAACTTTTATTATTTAAAAAAAACTATTTAATGAAACGATTAATTTTTCAACAATAAATAATATTACTAACGATAACATATAAATAAAACATTTCGATCAATGCCAACTTAAAGAAAAAACACTTATTAATTTTCTTTCTCTAAGTTGGTACCATTGCACGCATCACACGAAAGCATCACTTTTGAGAGTGCTCAATTGTGCGAAGCGTTGCTGTAGTTGGAACACTCAACGTTAAGCATTATGCCGCATAATGCGCAATAATGCTGTAATTGGAAAGCAACCATGTTGAACTTTGGGCAGGTCATTATTAAGTGGCCGGGTTGCTCTATGGTATTACATAATCACGAGTTGATGTCAAATTGAAAACTTGTATTTCATTTCCATATCATGAACTCAAACCACACTGATTTTTCAAATAAAATACCACCCAATAATGTAATGAAAGATTAATTATCCCTGCTTTAGTTGCCCATTGGTGTTGATTCTGGCATGGTTCTCTAAAATTGAAACAAAACTAAATTTTCACATCAGTCTCTCGTTTTGATTTTGTATGGAGTATGACAAGGATGCACTGAAAATCATGCCGGACTCAACATTATTGAATAGAATATATTTGATGCTTTGGTACTAAAAAAGGACAAATAGCCTATATAATTTTTTGTCATCGAATGAGACCAAAAGAGTAAAATAAAACTATAACATTGAAGCTGTATAAATTTAGTATCCTCTGTTTCCAAAATCCTAGAATATTGTAAATAAAGTGTAATTTACACATTTCCTGTCAATCAAAACACTTTTATTTTACTCGAGTGAATACAAATATTTTGTCTTTTTCATTATTACGTTTTTCTAAAATATTAATTATTGTTAGTTATTGTATCATAACATATATTTTATATTGTGTTTTTTATAAAAAAAGAACTCAGGTCGATAAAAAAACTAGACGTATTTTGCTAAGATGGCTCCCTCTAGTTGTTGAACTGTCAACTATACGCGTGTCGTCCATGTTCCGAATGTGGTGTGACTTATTTTTGTTTTGTGTTAATTTTCATTACAATAATCTAAATGTGAAATGCAACAGCATGTGTTATTCCATATAGTGGAACCTTGCTCCGGCTGAATGGATCCCGCCGTCGCGTGGTATCAGCCTGAGCAGGAAGGACCCGCGAAGCGCCTGTGGCTTCGTATTTGGGAAACTCAAAGTGAAATAGACAAAATGAACCTCAAAAACTTAGAAAACGCTAATCCTAATGTGAATAAAGCTCAAGACTTTATACCTATAAATGATGTGAACGGTGAAAGTAGGAATAACAATTATTTTAACCCCGCGCGGAGGAAAATGAACGATAACCGCGCATCTACCTTTAACCTGAATAAAAACCACGATGCTCTCATAGGTGAATACGGAGGTTGTCCTTGGAGGATACCTAATTACAATTACAAGCCTGGGATTCTCGGGTGAGTAGTGTTTTCTCATGTGTCAGAAATGATTGTGGATGTCAACGTGTTGGTTAGGGCCGTAGTGACGGCGCGTGGCGTAAATGGAGCCCGCGCCCGCGACTGCGACCGGTACTGTGGGCCGAGGAGCGACCTGCCCAATCGTTTCATAACTATTTGCTCAGGAATTCAGTATTAATTAAGGTGCTGTGAGCTTACATGGTATAAAAAGAAAAAATATTATTCTAATTCATAACAGCAATTGCTTAAAAACTTCATAAACATAACATCTATATTGGCTTGTATTTAAATCATGTAGTGATCTTGTGTGACATACAATTTTAAGTGATGGTAGTACCACTTTAAAACAACATTAACTTGTGCTTTTGTTATAATTTCCTTTTTTTTGCATTTGGGACTTTCTGGAAGGGACAAACTTACTTACTGATTTGTTGTTCTACCTAATCCCTTTTGTAAACAAACATATTGGATTCTTTACATAGATAAGGAAATAGTTTGTAATTTATATGATCTGTGAAAACCCTATATGAGAAATTTTCTCAGTTATATCAAATTGGTAGTCTTAAATCATGATTCACATGCTCAATGAGGAAGTTATAGTCCTGCTGTTACTGAAACGGCAATCCATCTACTGATAGAGGCACCTTACTTTTTTTTTGTTCAGAAGCACATTTATTAACTGTCTTGATGTGTAGTCTGCTTTTCAGGTTACTGTATGAATAATGATTGAGGTATGTGGATATAAAAAAAACAAATCATCTCAAATTAGATCTACAATACGACTTTGACTACTTTTGTGGCCGAGTGGTTTGTACTGGGGGTTTCACGGTGGCGCCAACTCGAGAGGTCCCGGCTTCGAATCCGAATTGTGTTCCAGTCATAGATGTTTAATAATGTATTTCTATATAAATATACTTATAATATGTATTGTATATGTATTCTATCCGTTACCCTAATATCCCATAACACAAGCCTTACAGTGCTTACTTTGGGGCTAGGCTAATTGGTGTGAGTGTTGGAAAATTTATTTATTTAATGATTCTGTTAAAATATTATTTATTTCAGATGACTACAAATTATTAGTCCCAAACAATGCATAGCTAGTTATCCACAGATACTAAGTAATGTTTATACTAATATATTTATTTATTTGTCTTTAACAAAGTTTCGACAGTGATTTTTTGCATTCCATACTAAAAATTATAAATACAATCTTAAGGCCAATTACAGAAACTTATGGTGTACACATTAAATGCTAACGGCATTATTATATAACATCTATAATAAATACATTTATTCATGTATAGCATAAAACAGTGCTAATGTTACACCAACTATTGTTGCATTTTAAATAATATTATTTTTATTTTATGCAAATTTTGACTTTGGGAAGCATCAGGTTGGATCTAGTTCAGATACCAAAGATTGAAAATATTCTAATTACTAATAACCTTTTATATTGATGTCATTGTAGAATTAAGTTCCAAAATCATTTCATAATCATGATAATTATTTAAGTCTTGATTTACTAATTTAACTAACACCATGATACAGCTAGCACTGTTGAACCTGCTCAGGTTTAATTAGGAGTTGGGCTTATGCCAATGCCCCTGTTACAGTCATACACACAATAACATATATTTATCATGTGTAGTATTCTAAACAATGGCAGTTCCTAACCCTGTAATTGAATGAATCTAGTAATATTTGATCTATCGTTGGATCTTAATTTGGATTGTTTTGAAATATGTGTAATGACAACGCATTTTTTATGTATGTTTTAAATCTATTTTATGCAGAAGTGTGCTGCTTGTTGCTATTTCTTCTAAACAATGATTATATCTGTAAAGGCTAAAACTGTTAATATGTAAGTTGATAGAAAATGTTAAACAAAATAGAAGACATGGAAATTAAACTGATGTAATATATACAAACAGTTCTTAATTTTCCTATGAAGTAAAGGTTCAAATATAATTTTGCATAAGTCATTATACTTATTGGCATCACATTGGCAACTGTCGGCAGTTGTATACACCACCCACACTATAGTTGCTCACAAACGCACAATAATCGAGCCCTGTTTTAGAAATAAGTTAAATATATTTATCTTATATTATAAGAGGAGAAATCAAAGCTACTCTCTAAACGCTGAGTTTTAAGACTCCAAATTTGGAACTTGGTATCTTATAAGGTATAGGGGTGCTCTATGATGATTTTTCAAAATTACCTCTAAAGGGTATAAAATAGGGGTTGAAAGTTTGTATGAAAACTCTTATTCCTTGAGAGAGAGATGAACTTCTTAGCAATCCATGGATTCACCGTGCAGGTCCATCGTGTGCGCGAGATAGGAACTCAACAGTTCCCCGGACTTGTGACCCAGGTGTAGGTTTAAAAAGAATAACCTTTCTCTGCTGTAGTTGCCTGTCGTTCCTATCCAAATTTGATAGGAACCTGTTAGTGCAGCCTTTTTCACCCATTTTTCATTAGACAGTAACATTAATTCAATTTTATTGTGTGGTCTTAACTCTAGACTTTTTATTTTTACTAAAGACCTGAAACATAGAATAATGAGTATCAGGCTTTTTCGAAAATCTCCCCTAACAGGGTAAAAAACGGATGAAAGTTTATATGAAAAATCTTATTCTTTGAGTTATTAAAAACTTGATATGAATACTTATCTAAATAACTTATGAAGTTTTCCATTTTTGGTTTGCCAAAACTACACCTAAGTTTTTGTATGAATGAATTATAATGTGTATTTTGATTAATTCAAAACTCCGTACAGTATATATATTTGAGACCTGAAATAAAGAATGACATGTGTCAGGGTTTTTTGTAACTCTACCCCTAACAGGGTAAAAAGGGATAGTAAATTTTACTGGGCAGTATTTGACTGCAGAGTTTGATGTAATCAGAAAAAGGCTGAACAGATTTGGCTCAAATTTGGCACACATAGTTTATAACCTGGATTGAGACTGGATAATTTGTATCCCGAAAAAATCTTAGGTTCCTAAGCGATTCTCAAAAAACTAAAGTTAACGTGGACGTAGTCAGGGGCGGCCGCTAGTTTGTATATGTTAAATGGTGCACATAATCTTGAGCTCTTTCTACACTTTTTTTTTAATAATGGTCTAGTTGAAATTTAATTGCCTATCACTCTAGTTGACAGCAACACTCTTAACTACCAGCGTAACCGTATTGTCGGTCGCTAATTATCTGATGCTCCTCAAGGTATCTTAGGAGGCGGGTGATTATCATCCGCTCCATTACATAAGAGAGCAGAGATGTGCTCGTTATAGACCTGTAATTTGCAAGGTCAGATCCATTTTGAGAATAGGGTGGACGTTGATTAAGCTGGACTGGTTATTTTCGTAGAAAACGCGTTACTTATTACTTGTGGGGCGTTTCCGCACGTAGACTCCGTACTTGGTTCATTGTGCGTGCAGGGTATGTTGGGCTAGCTAGCACAGCCAGCCCAGCTCCTTCCAGAAGCGCAGTAGTCTCCTGGGACTCACAGGCTTCTAGGAGCTATCTGTAACACATATGGTAAATGCTTTTAAGTAGGCAGTGCCCTGTTATGGTGCCCAGCATTACTTGGAGATCACTTCGGTTAAGATTTTCGTAGCTTCTTGACATTCACAAGTGCTTGTTACAGCCTAGACTGAATAAATGAGTTTTTGATTCTTATTTAATAGTTTTCTAGTTAGCCTGGGTTTGAGGCTAGGAAAAATATCCTTAGATTGCCTGCAGCCCTTGGTATTGGCGCAACGGGTGTTATCACTCTGTATGGTTTGTTGACGCACCCATGTACGAATTTGATTGAAGGATAGGTAGAAGTGGTTCAGGGCATTTCAGCGAAGGCAAGCAGAAAGGGCGAAGGGTGCAGGTGCGGGTGCTGCCTGGTGGTGGTAAATACTTAAGTTCTGTGGAACATTTGATACAAGCTAAGTAACAGCATTTCGTTCAGTTGCTGCATATAATTAAATAAGTAAAAGGGAATGACAATAAAAAGACATATGAACAGGAAAGTTAAACGCGGAAGCAGTAAAAAGTTAGACACAATTAGCCTCCCGATATTCTCTGATGTCTGTTCTGCAAGGAGTAAAGCCTGAATGGGGGATGGGGGAAATCCCCATGGGGGAACAAAATAGAATGCAGCCAGATGAACGGCTCCCAGCTTCCTCGAAATAATTACTTAACCGTACCGCTATTGGTTTTGGCAACACGCGGCACTAGTCGTATACATAAATTCTGCTCGGAACTGCGTCAGAATGCCCTGTACACGTAACATCAATGTATGCCTGACAGAAATGACGTTTTGCTCACAGCCGGTGCAGCATGAGCACGGCGGCTACGTATTTTGTTGGAACAAGAGCTCAGGCCAGCAAGACGACGGATGGATTGGAGCATCAGCCACCAACGTCATCTGAACTTCATTCACACTTAACATCCGGTTGGGGTGGCACAGTCATTTTGTAACAAAGCGGTTCCTTCCAGTTCTTTTTTATAATTCATTCATAGTTGTCAACAGCGTCGTTACTTATGAAATCATTATTCATTGCTACCTTTTTAGCATTAAATCGAGGATGTACCGAATTCCAAAGTGCGCGTGACCTTGGCAACCAGTCAGTGCCCCCGCGTGCGCGGTTCGGTTATGTCATAGGTATAAGGCGCGCGCTCGTGGAACCCCTTAAATCAACCATTGATAGTTGACGTCACACAAATCGAGACTCAGGCAGTCGCTCGTCATATTAAATTCGTGTTTCAGTACCCTTAGTACGAGTTTTACAATTACGAAAACTATGATAGTTTTCGTGAGCTCGCACTCGTACTAAGGGTACTGATTTTATTGTTTTCGTTTCAATACAAATGAACAGTGTTTAAATTCTATCATTATATCATTTGCGTCTTCGTAAATTTTAAGTATATTTGATTACTTTTCACCAAAATGGACATAGAAACATAATGTACAATTCGAAAACTATGATAGTTTTCGTGAG